GCGGAACCACGCATGCGCGGCGCTCCCGGGCAGGGAAAGTCCTCAACTTACGACTGGTTGGGTAGTCCTCGACTTACGACCGGTTTAGTCCTCGACTTACGACCGGTTTACTCCTCGACTTATGACCGGTTTAGTCCTCGACTTGCGACCGGTTGGGGTCGCGGCATTAAAAAGGTTGAGAACCACTGATTTAGATAGTAAGATGGGCGGCATATACATTTCAATAAATAAACAAATAAAGAAAACGTAGATTTTGCTCATTAAAAAGCATATAAAATAGCATTTCCCATCCGGGTATACTCTCCAGAATGCTGAGACTGCATTTTCAAAATCCTAGGCCGCAATCTTGGTTATTTGGAATAGAATTCTGGGAACTGTGACCCCAATTTACATGATACTAGGGAAAGAAGAAATTAGGAATGGTCGAAGAATCCAATGACTTTTCAGGTATCTCATTTCAGGGGGGAAAAGCAACCTAGAAAAACATAATTAGAAAGAGTCCAGAGGGCAAAGGTTTCATCCAGAGCCATGTTCATGAATCCAGCTAACTAATACATATATATAAGAAGGAAATGAGTTACAGCGAGTCATGGGTTCAGAGGCTCCTCTTTTTGTTTTTTTCCTCCTAAGCAGCCAAGGAGACCACAAACAACAATTCACCGTCTGGCCCAGACACAGAATTGTGGTTGCAATAATTCCTAGTTTGAATAGTTCAACTTAAAAATGAAGCTTTGAAAGTAACTTATTTGAAACTAACCTTAGCTTAATGTTTAACAATTTGCTACTGCAAAAGATACAATAAGCCAGCAGTCTCCAAAAACAAAGTCTATTCCCAGTTGGTGGAAGGGCATGTGAGCTTAAAGTTCATGAAATCTTCTTCACTGGGTGTATCATAGTGTAGTGGAGAAGTAGACAACTGTTTGCAGGCCAGGAGATACAAAGCAATTTATGTGAATCCAAAGGCTGCAGTGGGGGTGGTATATAATGTAAATAAGTGGGATTAGCTTTCTGATTGTTTCTGGAGATGATTTTTCTTTTAATAGAGTTATTTTAAAACTACGTTAGCCCTATTATTACAGGGCTTACACTACAACTTTTCCACATGCTTCCTTGTGGCCACAGACTGACTGTTCCTCCTTTGATGTCATATCCAAACATAGCTTGGACTGTGGCTATTTCCAGATCTGACAGGATAGTGTAGAATCCTTCTTAATCCTGGGAAAGGTTGTAACTCAGTAGAAATGGTCACTTTTATGCAGAAGGTCCCAAGCTAAATCTAGTATCTCCAGAAGAGTTAGAACAGGCTCTGGTCTGAAATCCTGGTGAATTGTTGCCAGTTAGTCTACAGTATCTGAACTAGATCTACTTTAGTGTACCAGCTTTCTGTGTTTCCACTGTACTGGGACTCTAATAATTTCTCTTTCTCAAGTTATTCTTCAAATGAGACATGGGAACATCTGATCACTAGTATACCAGATGTATATTCACATGTACATGTATCCACATGTATAGATATTTGATGGTAAATACCCACATATCATCTACTATATTTTTAAATATATAAATATTTAAAGATTAGCTATGAGTAATAGATTTTTTTAAGCCATTAAAAGCCTTGAAGTATTTCAAAAGTTGCTCGATTCATAATGACGTAACACATTTATCTTCAAATTTTGCAACAAATACAGCACACCTATCTCACTGAAGTTTGTAAAGTGTACTTTTAGGCATTGGGAATCACAGAATCATAGAGCTGAAAGGGACCTTGGAGGTCTTCTAGTCCAACCCACTGTCCAATGCAGGAGACCTTATACCATACTAGACAAATGGTTGTCCAATCTTTTCTTGAAAACCTCAGACGATGCAGCACCCACAACTCCGGGAGGCAAGCTGTTCCACTGATTAATTGTTCTCACGACCAGGAAATTCCTCCATTTTTTCCAGGTTGAATTTCCCTCTGATGAACGTCCACCCATTGCTGTCTTGTCCTGCCCTCAGGTCCTCAGGTGGAGAATAAATCAACCCTCTTCCCTGTGACAGCTCTTCAGATATTTGAAGACAACTCTCAGGTCTCCCCCAAATCTTTTCTTTGTTATGCTAAACAAACCTAGTTCCCTTAGCCACCCATCATGTAATTTAGCCTCTAAATCCCTTATCATCTTTGTTGCTCTTCTCTGCACTCTTTCTACAGCCTCAGCATCTTTTTTGTATCGTGGTGAGCAGAACTGGATGCAGTATTCCAAGTGTAGCTTCACTAGTGCAATATAGAGCAGTACTATACTTCCCGTGGCCTTCATGCTATCCCTCTGTTGATGTAGCCTAGGACTGTGTTGGCTTTTCTGGCAGCTGTAGCACACTGCTCGCTCATACTTAAGTGGGGGTCCACCAGAACTAATTAGGATATTTTTTTATATAAAACTATATAAAATATGCTACCTGTAATTCATTAGGTGCCCTGGAAAACTAAATGAGGACATAATGATTATTCTTGTTCTATGTAAACTATAAAGCAGCAATACGGTAATACAGTGGTATCTTGATATTCAACTGCTTTTAAATTCATCTACTTTAGTGCTCAATGTATTGTGCCACAAAAATTTTGTCCCGGTACTAATTGTTTGTTTGGTATTTAGCACATGCTAGAACTTGTCGGTGTTGACTGCCTTATGACTCAGTACATTATTCTTTATGGGAAAAATTTGTTTGATATTTATCATTCTTGGTACTCATTGTGGAACCAATTAATGATGAGTACTGAGGTACCACTGTACTACATGCATGTTTCATAGAAACAGTGACAGGGAACAACTGTTGGTGGTTGAGCAGGTAGCTGGTATTATGGGAAAACAATACAATTTTTATTTTTAAAAAAATGAGCATTATTTTTACATATAAAACTATGCAAGTAAGAATATTTGCATATTTGATTTGTATAAATTATATTGATGTCATAACTCAGGTTCCTTGATATAAAAAAAAATGTTGACTGGACTAAAATGTAAGTGCAAGCCAAGTACAAATCAAGGAAATACCCATATAATACTCTGCGGAAGATCATTCACATCTTCTAGGGTTATTTTATATTTTTTATCCTTAAGCAGAAATAAGTAGTTATATATTAAAAATATATTAGAACCAGGAATGTTTGTGGCATTCTGTTTTAAATACCACTATGAAAAGAAGCAAAATTAAATTTCTTCTCCACAAAATGGAGAAGAAATGCGAACTGCTGCTGGATTTCAAGTTTCACAATCTCTAAGCACTGGTCTATATTATAATAAGGTTTTTCTAGGTCTAAAAGTTCTTATCCAAATAATAATAACAACAACAACAACAACATACAAAGACCTACAAATAGAAATAGAAAGACTGTGGCAAAAGCAAGCAAAGGTAGTACCAATAGTAATAGGCACCTTGGGTGCAATCCCAAAACAGCTGGAGCACCACTTGAACACCATTGGCATTGACAAATTTGCCATTAGTCAATTGCAAAAGGCGGCCTTATTAGGAACTGCTTCCATCTTGCAATGATATCTGTAATACCATCAAACATCCACATCTGCCTATCCCAGGTCCTTGGGAAGGACTTGATAGGTAGACAAAAATGCCAAATCCAGTCTGAACATCTGGCTGATGGTGCGATGATCAATAATAATAATAATAAATAACAGCAATATATGTACTCTTCTTCTCAGAGGGAATCCCGTAATACCTTTCAATGCGTTCTACAAATATTATGATAGGACAAAACTAGACATGTATCTATTTTTAAAGCATGTTTTATCGTGTTAATATCACGTTGCAGGATCCAATCTGAGTAGGTCACCGGGACTTTTGTCTTCTGAGCTTTTGGACTCATGCCTGAGCCCCCATCCTCAGGGAACTTTTCTCTAGCCTGAAGATGGGCTCCAGCACAAACCTGAAAGCTCGAAAGACTAAACCTCTGGTCCCGGTGACTGAACCAGATTGGATCCTGCAACACTATCCTGGGACACATATATTCACCTTCATTTATAATATCACGTTATCATATTAAAACATGCTTATTAAAACTTGTTAGTCTGTAACGTATAGAGGGATCTTACTTTTAAAATAGTGTGCATATGTGGAAGAGAGGAATGATCCATCTTCTTCCCAATCATATCTTAGCACCATTAAACCATTTTTCCTAGTCTAGCACAGATGAGTAAACTGAGTTGGAGTAAATACTTTCAAAATATATGAGCACCTCAAGGGATAGAGACCAAACCCTGATTTGGCTTCTTTCAAGGGTGCATTTATTGATATGAAACTTAGATATCACACTACTTCAAATTCTGTAGAAAAATAGCCATTTTTTGGGTAGACATATGTATTACAAACTTAGCACTCATACTTCCTACAAAAAGTCTTGAGCATCTGCAAGCATTATTCCCAGCCTTTTCTGACTAAGTCTGGCTAATTTCTGAATAGCTTGTAAAAAGAGCTGCTGGTAGATTATGGTAGATACCAGTCTAACTCAAAGCCATTGAATTAGCCTCATAGTATGTTCACGTCATAACAACTTTACACTTTTCCTTTATTATTCTTTCTCTTTAAAATCTGGGCATCTATGATACACTACAATAGTAGAGGCTCCTGTAAAACTGAATGATTCTGAGAAATTCAGCAAGAGCTGCTCTAGTATCTGGTATGGTATGCTCTCAGTAAGGGATAAATTGATTTTTATTGTAACAAATTCCAATTTAAAGCCCCTGAGCTTTCTACAATGGGATAAAGCTGAAAAATCCAGTTTCTTCAAGCTTTCTTTTGCTTTTCAGAGTTTCAGTCAGAAGTCCTCATTGCTTGAATCAGTTTTAGCTGAAGGGGCCAGGGACTGATTTTGGGGCCTTTGGTATACCAAGCATCTGCTCAGTTACTAGGTTGTCAGCATTCAATTTCCAGTAAAAGCTCTTTTTCTATAACAAAATGAAGTTTCTAATCCCAATTCTATCTCCAATTGAGATCAGCAATTTGGCAACCAGGAATAGGAATCCTTGAGATGCATTGAACTAAACTCTAATAAAACCCATCAATGTAGTGAAGAGGATGTTGGGAACTGGCAAGACAAGTTCATTGCCATCTTCAGAATAGTACCTTCCTCTCACAACCTATTGCTGGCAGATAGTGGGGAGAATAAAAGAGGAACATGAACAGTATAGGTGTTAAGCACAAAACAGTGCTAGGCTGCATTAACAGAGGGATAGAATCAAGATCACATGAAGTGTTAATGCCATTTTTATAATGCCTTGGTAAGGCCACACTTGGAATACTGCATCCAGTTTTGGTCACCACAATGTAAAAAAAGATGTTGAGACTCTAGAACAGGGGTCTTCAAACTTGGCCCTTTTATGACTTGTGGACTTCAACTCCCAGAATTCCTCAGCCAGGCACGCTGGCTGAGGAATTCTGGGAGCTGAAGTCCACAAATCATAAAAGGGCCAAGTTTGAAGACCCCTGCTATAGAAAGAGTACAGAGAAGAGCAACAAAAATGATAAGAGGACTGGAGGCTAAAACATATAAGGAAAGATTGCTGGAATTGGGTATGTCTAGTTTAATGAAGAGAAGGGCTAGGGATGACATCATAGCAGTGTTCCAATATCTCAGGGGCTGCCACAAAAAAGATGGAGTCAAGCTATTCTCCAAAGCACCTGAAGGCAGAACAAGAAGCAACGGATGAAAACTAATCAAAGAGAGAAGCAACCTAGAACTAAGGAGAAATTTCCTGACAGTTAGAACAATTAATCAGTGGAACAACCTGCTTCCAGAAGTTGTGAATGCTCCAACACTGGAAGTTTTTAAGAAGAGACTGGACAACCATTTGTCTGAAATGGTATAGGGTTTCCTGCCTGAGCAGGAGGTTGGACTAGAAGACCTCCAAGGTCCCTTCAGCTTTATTGTTGTTGTTGTTGTTGTTGTTACATTGATCACAACTACTTTAAGGAGCTGGTGAAGGGAACTACATTTGGGCCCCACAAGCTCTGAAGCACTTCTCTTCAAATCTAAAGCAAAGCCCTAGCAAACAAACCCACAGCAAGATTTATCTTGGATAGAGGAAAAGAAACTCACCTGACTGGTTTCCACATCACGCTCATCTTCATTAATTAAAAGCATGTAGGGTTTTCGAGGCAGTCCTGGGGCCTTGATCCCCAAAATGAAGAGGATGAAGGTGCTGATATAACGCAGGAACCACAGGCTGAATTGGATCTGGGAGAGTGGATTTGGGTCAGTGGCACTCTTCAGCAAGAGCTTCCCTTCTTCCTGCCCCACCCCTCCAATGGCTACAAACCAGGCAGTGCTTCTTCTCCAACACCCAATTCCACAGTCAAATGGAGGAGAAGCTGGCATTTCACTGGCCAAACATAAACTCTAAAGCGCTCAGCCAAAGGTTGGTCCACCAAAACAATGGTCAAAGCACCGAAAACACTAGTTTATTACGACTATAGCCAAGAATAGAGAGAATTGCATCAATTACAAAAAGGCCCCACATTTTTTGTAGCAAATCCCAAAGGTAGTCCCTCCCAGTAGCTTTAGGGATCATTTAGTGGTAATCCTGATCCCCCCCCAGCACTCAATTTCACTACCTGTGGGAAAGTACTTCCTGTTGCCTCTTGACGCCTCTTCCTGTCCGAGGCCTGCAATTGTAGCACAGAAGCCCTAGGAAAGCTCAGTCATGTGACTGAGCTGGCAAGGCAAGAGAAGGGATCAGGGCCAGGAGAGGCTAGCATTTAAATGTAGGCTGTGACAGGGACCCTCTCACTGGCAGTTTGCTCTCCAGTGACAATCTGCGCAAGCCAAATATTACTACTGCTACTTCTCCTTGGCTGCCACTTGTAGCTGGGGCATTCTTAACCTATAGCGCCCGCACATCCTTTGTCCTTTAGATTTATTTAATTATCTATTCCCTCGGTGTCACTCTTGAATTTTCCTTTGTAAACCAAAGGTATAAACATAAACAATTTTTTTAGCTTTATGAATTTCTTTCAGGTTTGCCCCCTTTCAGGTTTGTTTTCTATTTTTTTCCAAGAAAATATGGTCATTGTACTTTAACTTCATACAGTATGCAAGGGGGTAAGAAACCAACAGTTGCTATTCTGCTCTGCCACACTTTATACAGGTAGTCCTCGACTTAGGATCACAATTGAGCCCAAAATTTATATTGCTAAGTTTTGCCCCATTTTACAACTTTTCTTGCCTCATTTGTTAAGTGAATCACTGCAGTTGTTAACAAATTCACTTATCAAATGTGGCAAGAAAAGTTGTAAATAGGGGCAAAACTCACTTAACAAATTTCTCATTTAGCAATATACATTTTGGGCTCAATTGTGGCCCCGGGACAGTGCATCTGTCATAAATATGAACCAGTTTTCAACCATCATAATGTAAATCACGTGACCCTGGGAATGCTGCAACAGTCATGAGTGTGAAAAAGGATCATACAGTAAATTACTTCTTCAGTGCTGTTGTAACTTCAAGCGGTCACTAAATGAACTCTTGTAAGTGAAGGACTACTTGCAAATTTATGTGGGGACCCATCAGAAATAGTTAGGCCCAAGTTCCGACTTTTAAGGTGGTTGTATGAATTGGCAGTGTGGAGAGGCATAGCTGCCTACTCAGAGAAACAAACCTGAGGTTAACCTGCAGTATTACTGTAATTCAAATAGATAGCTTAGTAACAAATGCAAATTAGAAGATCCTGTGACCATCCAGACGTTTTTGAACTCCAACTTCCCATTATCTCTGATAACAGAAATGTTATAAAGCAGGGGTGTCAAACTGCACCCACCTCGTTGCTGGCAATGGCAAAAAAGTCACAATACGTCGCAACATGTCACGTGAAATTGCGAGTTTGACACCCCTGCTATAAAGTGCCACACTGTGAACCCAAATAGTATAAACCTAATACAATTTATTCTGATGTGCAATAAAGAACAAGGGTCACAAACATGGGAAGGAAGCGATAGGCAACTCATTAATAAACCAATAAACCATCTGCACTACAGATGGAATTACATTCTGTCTTGTTTTTCAAGTTTTAGGGTCAGGCAAACTGATCTTCAGAGAGATGCCCTTTTGTCTCATGGTATTCCTACAGGGGAGGAGAGAAGGAAGCAAGTCTTCATCTCTTGTATATTCTTGCCAGAACAAAGAAATGGGAATTTTAGCTTGTGGCTAGACCTGCTTGGTAAGGGACTATGCATAAGGTCTCTTCCCCTATTATCAACATTTAAAGAGAAAGTGGTTTGCCCTCTTGCCCTCATGTGAAACTGTTAAGCAATGATGATTCAGCAACAATGATTCAGCAAAAACATGCTGCCATGAAGAACATGAGAGATAAAAAGAAATAAGCAATGCAATGGCTTGCACCAGGGGCAACTTCTGGCAGATTCATTCAGTGCTAGTCCAATTCATTCAATGCTAGCTCATCTCCTTCTTTATTTTCTATACAATTTCAGCTTATAAATAATTTCTTATAATTCTCAAACTTAAAAAAAGAAAACGTCTGTCTCTGATATAGGATGCCTTCAATTGCCTGCCAAGTCAAAAATCTCCACTAGATGAAAAAACACACACCTTATTTCCCTCCCATATTAATTGTAATACAATTAAAATGCACTCCACACCAAAGTTAACATTTGTATTACTGATAACATGTCTCAATCAACATGTTTCTGTAGCAAATCATTTCTAATTTGTCTGCCTTCATTCGAACTTCAAAGTTACAAAGCCTTGCCTATTATAAATATGGCAAGATCTAGGAAGAATCAAATGAGGCTCAAGAAAGCAACACACATTATTGATTTTTAAAAAACCCTCTATTCTATTTTCAAAATAGGTGCTGTTATTTGTTAAATATAACTTAGTGCTGCACATGAAATTAATTTTCTGCTTACTAACATGAATTATGATTCAGATGGGCTGGTTCATATACTGAGTTACAACTTGAGCCATGATTTATTGAAAAGGCCTGAAATACATAAAGCTGAGTTATAAATTAATAGTAGAAAACAAGTTTTCCTAAATGAACAGCTTCCAACAACACTCTTTGGCACTAGAACCTGCTGTAAATCCTCTTGCACAATACACAGAAATTAGCTTTACTTATTGCCAGAGAAACTGTATCATCTTCCTATATGAGGGGTGTTAAACTGCCAGTCCACAGGCCGGATACATCATGCCGAAACCTTGCCCATCCCATTGCCGGCAATGGAAAAAAAGTCGTGATATGTCGCGACACATCACATGACGTTGCGAGTTTGACACCCCTGTCCTATACCATATCATCTCCCTCATCACTGACCCATCCTACCTTTTGGTTAGTGTTTTTTAATTCCCACCACCAGAGTGGGCTGCTCCATGAGATGAAGGCCAAATTCTCAGAAGAAAAAGCTAGAGCCCAGTAGAGTAGAAGGATTGCTCCATGGCCTCTGATCCGATCCTGCACCATCACCCTGGTGCGTTCCAGGTGCAGCAGCCCAATTGAGGTGGCCCAGCTAATGGTAGACAAGCAGACATTCAGCACCATATATCCATAAAGTTCTTGGGTGCCCACCACTTGCCACAAGAAAGTGCAGAAGGGCATCAGAGTGAGGAATAGAGAGACCAGAATTTGAGTATAGTACAGGCGGGACCGAGGGATGTACTTTGGTTCCATGGTGCGGCTGAACTGAGCATAACAGGTATACTGTAGAGCACCCAATAGAAGACAGACACTGAGTAGCACTGCAGGGACCAGTGTGAAGTAGAAGCAGGGGGACAATCCCTCTTGAGTCCATGCTTGTGCCAGGGATTCATTTCCCTCACAATAGCTGTGTAACATCACCATCCTGCTGGGTGAGAAACTGTGGAGACACCAATAAAAGAAACAGAAGAAAAAATTAGGAAACAAATTTGGACACATTACATAGAACTTTAACCCCATTGACATGACAAGTTCTCTTCGACTTGTAACAGCAATGCAGATGTGAATATTTATTTCATTTATTCATTACACATAATTTATATACCACCCATCTCCCAAGAGTCCAGATAGTTTACAGTTATAGAACTAAAAACATAATAAACTATAATTTTAAAAAAAAATTCCCTCAGCAACTGCCAACAAAAATAAGGCAGCAGACCAGTCACCCCAAAATCACATCATGGGCATAGCAAGGGTTTCAACTCTGTGGCTATTTACATTTGTTTTAGATGTTATTTTTTGTATCATCATCAAGTTTAGGTATTCTATATGTATTGACCACGCTCAAATTATCCTACTTCAGACACTTTGTGAGAAGACCTAGTTCTGTAGAAACGGTTCCAATGCTGGAAAGGTGAAAAGAGAAGGAAAAGGGGATGACCAGCAGCAAAGTGGATGGATTCAGTTCCAGCAGCTATGAGTGCCTGTTGAAAGACTTGAAGGGCCTGGTTAGGGACAGATCATCATGGAGCTCTATTCATGCTAAGAGTTGACACAGACTTGATCACACATAATGTTATGTGTATGATCCCCAACAGAGGCCAAGCTACTGTGATTACTTCTATTTTTGAGAGGTTTGGTCTCAAGATATTTGGCGAGTGCCTGGTGGACAGGACTTCTAGGAACTGCAGAAAGTGCTTCTGTTATTGAAGAGGAAAGCAATATCCTTAATAAATTTATTTGGGTGTGGTTTTATGATCTATATCAGTGATGGTGAACCTTTTAGAGACCGAGTGCCCAAAAAACAGCCCTGCCCCCGCCCTGTCTGCAGGGCCACCCACCACCTCCACAGCCCACCGCAGATTGCCCAGGCGGTCCAGCAGTGCCATGGTGCCCACGCCCTCCGCCCGCATCCTGCAGCATCAACTGTGTGCGACGGGGCACGAGGGCGGAGTCTTGGCCCCGCCGCCCGGCTGCCATTCCTTGGCTGCACTGCCCCGCACGGGCCACGCTCAGGGGCGACTCTCCTCTGAGGAGGGCTGCTGGGGAGGAGGGGGCTGCGGGGGGAGGCATGGTTGGGGCGATGACGCACATGCCCACAGAGGAGGGCTCTGAGTGCCGCCTCTGGCACACGTGCCATAGGTTCGCCACCACTGATCTATGTTGTGCTGTCCCAGAATTCTTTGCATCTCTTTTGACTTTTCTCTGACTTCAAGAGCTAGATTTCCCATTGCCTGAATTTCTTGCCCAATTAGGATTCTGCTGCTTTCCCTGAATATCCTCTTTTCAAGAGTCAGAAACAGATCTCTGCTTCTGTTCACAAGACTGACATCTGTATGCCTTCCCGAGTACCTATCTGGGGTTTGCTTCTCCTCCTTTATTTCACTGTGTCCTTTCAGAGGGCATTTAAATGATACTTGAATGTTATGTTGTCACGACTACATTTTGCACGGGGGGGTTTATGGGCAACGCGCAGACCCAGTGCTTTGCCATTTTCCTCAAGGCCATCCCCACAACAAGCATCAGCTGTTTCTCCAAGGCTTGTGAACTTTCACAGAGAAAAGGGCTAATCGACCAAGGGCGCTCCCAGGAACCCGAGGCTAAGAGCGGGAGTTCCAGCCCAGGCTACGTGGGTTACGATGACAGACATAAGACTCCAAACATGCCTGCTCCCCGCACGCCGCCGAATTCCACTAATGCTGCGATAGCTGTTTTTGACCAATGTTTTCAATCCAGTCCGATGCTCTTCCACTGGATTAAAGGGGGGGGGGGGTGGAATAAAAACTGGCTACTATAAAGGAAAATGGCACGAGGCTCTGCATCCCTCCTGCAACTATTCTTTGCTGTGCTCGAGATCTCCCACCGTCCGCAACCATCGCGGCCAATTGCACTCCGACGTATCTGAAATAACTCTTAACCGATACCTTAATGCGGATCCTGTGCGGTTTCCGAAAAATCAAGGCAGGGAGTGCCGTGCTGAGAATCGGAGGTGAGGATCTTCGGTCAGCTGTACAGGTGGAAACGTTGCCCCGTCCCCCCCCCCCACCCGCGTGCGACCCCCGACCCCCGCAGATGGGGTTGCGCGTCTCCGGGCGCAGTTAAGAATTTGGCGAGAGCTCCGCCAAGAGAGGCGGCTCGCCCGCTCCCCTCGCCCACCTCCTGCTTGCAAACACAGGGACTCGGACGCTTTGGCTTTAACCCACCCGGCCCCCAAGATTTTTCAACTGCCTACCGGGTAACGTCCGCTTGCTTGCACGAGTGCCGTCCGGAGCAAACGCGTCTCCGCAGCGCAGCAGAAGCCGCGCCAGGCTGTGCTCGCTTCTCCGGGCCTAAACGCCGCCCATGTACAGTACTGTACTTGCTAGCAGACTTCCCCTGGGTCCTAGCTGCCGCGATTTTTCTTCCCAAACAAACTAACCGAGCTTCCCGCCGGACGGTTACATTTCTGTCTGAAAAGGAGCGGTCGTTGAAAGTCGTGAAAATAGCTTCTCTCCCCAGTTTTAATAATGGACCTATTCCGGCTCCCTTCCCTTTGCTCCCTATTAAAAAAAAACAAGCCTGTCAAATGTTAAGAAGCAGCTTGGTTTAATGATCAGACTGAGCGCTATCGACAGAAAGTAGAGCATTCGTATTATTTCTAAGGGTTTATGAAATGCTATTAAATTTGGAAAGTGAACAGGTAAAAACATTGTATGATACAATGGGCAAAGAACTTTGGTTATAATGTGATGCTGGAACAATAGGAGAATATGTGGATGAAAAGTTTAAACTTTACATTGAACTACAATTTAAAAGAAAATTTCTATAAGATGATGTACAGCAGTGGTTCTCAACCTTTTTAATGCCACGACCCCCAACCGGTCGTAAGTCGAGGACTAAACTGGTCGTAAGTCGAGGACTAAACTGGTCGTAAGTCGAGGACTAAACCAGTCGTACATCGAGGACTACCCAACCAGTCGTAAGTCAAGGACTTTCCCTGCCCAGGAGCGCCGCGCATGCGTGGTTCCGCCCCCTGCGCCGGCCGAGGCGTAGCTGGCAAGCGGCAGAGATGGAGCAGGCCGACCACCAGCTGGCCCAGCTCAAGGGAGGTAAGGTACCCGCCGGAAAAGGGGGAAAAAAAATGGCGGACAGCCTTGCTTGGCAACCGCCGTGAAATGGCCAATCGACCCCAAATGGGGTCCCGACCCATAGGTTGAGAACCGCTGATGTACAGTATCACTGGTATTTAACACCAGACAAGCTGTCTAGAACAGGGGTCCTCAACCTATGGGCCACTGCCCACTACTGGGCCATGGCCTCTTGGCCACTGGGCTGGGTGACTGGCCAGTGTATAAGCACATGTGCGCACACTCACTCTCCCTTGCACCAGTGCTAACTGACTGAGCTTCGCACCGGCGCTAGCCGAGCGCCTCTCACCGTTGCTGAGTCTCTCACCGGTGCTAGCCGAGCCACATGCAGGTGCTAACAGCCCCATTTGCGGAGCGCGCATGCTCAAGGCCCCATTCTCGCGCACACGCATGCAGCCACATTTGCATGTGTGTGCATGCGCGCATAAATGTGCCTGCCCCTCCCTTTCCCACCGGGCCGCCAACCCACAAAGGTTGGCAACCCCTGGTCTAGAATGTATAAAGGTATTTCAAATGAATGCTGGAAATATAAAGGTAAAGAAGGGACTTTGATGAAGCAAAGAAATATTGGAGAAGGATTCACATTTTGATACAGGAAATCCTTAAAGTAAAAATAAATATGAAACCAGAATTTTTTCTTTTGGGTCTAATGAAAAAAGACTTGGAAAAAAAAATTGGAACTTTGATCCTGTATATGTTGATGGCAGCGAGATTACTGTATGCTCAAAAATGGAAGGACATTTTGATTCCCACTATGGACAAATGGCTACAGAAGTTGATGGAGCTGGCAGAGATGTTAAATTGATTGTTTTTAGTAAAGAAAAGAATACAAGTACTTTTGTTTCTACATGGAGACCACTTCTGGATTTTGTGCTTGAAGTGGGAAAAAATGAAACTTTGATTTTGGGTTTCACCAATTAGATTGATTTGATTTGTTGTTACAGATGGCCAATTTATACTTTTGTGAAAAAATAAAAAGTTGTTGCTCGACATTAATGCTTTATTCCACTGCAACAGAGGAAATCAATGTCTTTTTTTTTCTTTTTCCCCTCTTTCCCTCACTTTCTTTTCCTTTTCTCCTCCCCATTGTGTCCTACTATTTGCTTTGTATTTTGTATTTTACTCTATAATTCAATAAAATGTTAAAAAAAGTAGAGCATTCAAGCATGAATTACACTGAACTCAATCTTATTTGACAAAGATACGCTGCTATGAATGTTTACTTTATGGCATAAAGTAAACATTCATAGCAGCACTAGTTTAAATATGGAAATGGTGTGACCTTGAGTTCAAAGAGGCTGTGAAGGTAAAATGGGATTACGCCCGGCATGCCCAGCTGAGATCATTGGTGAGAAATGAAAATATTGTGATTCAGGCCCAACTGCTATATACTGTTCATTACTTAACTAAGCCAAGGGCCCAATTTCAGTTTTCAAATGCTAATGAAATGAACACATATATTTTAACATACAGAGAAAGAAGCCACACGAGGTATATGAGGGCTGCAGATAGGGATGATCACAGGATGACAGCTATTAACAGTGATTGAAGGTTAGCCATATGCGTTGTATACATTGTACACATAAAAAGCAGACAAAGCCCTGATTACATCGTCATGGCTGCTATCTTGACTTTTTTGACCACAACCTGCAAACAACCCTGGCTGCACAAAGATCATCACAAATTGCAGCGAAGAGACATGGTACCTTCCTCCCCTTGCTTCCATCTGGTAATCAATTAGATTTGTGAAACACAGTTAACGGTGCTTAGGGGGAAACACATTTTAAGAGGTAGAATTTGGTGATGTTATGGGTCTAATCTTCCCAAAGGATCCAATTCCATGCATTCAGACTTTTTAGAAATAAAAGAAACATGATTCTGATTCCTACTGTACACCAGGAGAGAGCTAACATAGGTTGTCATTTTCAGTCAGCTGCATTGCTAAAAATGTCTGAAAAAGCAGCAAAAAGGTTGTCGCCTTCTATAAGAAATCCTATGGTGCTTTTTTACTATGGAATCTCCCAGCAGTTTCAATCTTTTAACATTATAAGCTGTGGATACATGTCAGTGAAATTTGTATCACAGACACTTCTTCAGTGACTTTCTTTCAAAATAGCGAACTTTGGATAAGTGCTGGCTCTTCTGAAAAGTCTGTTGGATCTGGAGTGCACAATATAACAGGAGCTTCAGTCTCAGAGAGCTCAATATTTATAGAGTTCCCCCCCCTTACAAATGAGATGAAGTCTTGGTTCAGAAATAACAATGCTAACAGTAAGAATGAGGAATCCAAGTGCATTTTTGAATGCCTAATATATACGAAAATGGACTCATCTTCCATTTCAACCTAGTAACTAAAATAGTTACGTTGGTTTGATAAACTTCAAGATCCTTGGCTTAACTTGCCGGGCAGGTCTCATAAGCGCATTGTTGTATTGCATACAGTTCCCACTTCCAGTTTTGTGGCATTCATGCTGTCCGTATATGATTTTCTCTAAAGAGGTGCAAAAACAAAAACAAGGCATCCCAAAAGCAACACAGGAGGGCAATGTTTTGGATACCCCTTTCCCAGTGATTTCACTGTGTCGCTAGACATATGCCTGTGCCTTTCAGAGGCTGGGTAGGAGGAAAGAAGTCATAATGCCCACCATTTTAGAAAACATTTTCCCAAACTGTAAGGTTTTCTATTTTCATCCTGGAAGGGGATATTTGGTCCACATATTTCAGAAACAAAAGGCAAAACAAAAATGAAAAGTCTAAGTACCTCTACAGCTCCGTCCTCTCCAAATAATTACATTTATTTTTACAGCCAAACGCTATTGGGACTCATTCTCAAAGTTATTCTAAATATTCAGATCAGATGCAGAAATTAGGGATAATATTCAATTCTAAAGTATCCCATGATGTGCAGCAATGGTGCTGATCCATTCGCCATGGAAATATTTCACTACTTTTTCCTTTCATGTTGTGATTATATACAAAACTAAAATTCAATATATATTTAAAAAACCACTGGACATTTACTCATTTAAAGAATAGCCCCAGCATTCTGGTAACACACAGCTCTGAATGTAATATTTGCAGTTACAATACAGACTATGTTATCATTTTTTGTACAATACTACTTTTGTGATAGTATATAGTACCAATAAAGGGGAATATTTGTAGTTTAAGGTTGAAATGAGGGGTCCTCGATGCTCTCTGAGTTTGATTGTCTTCTTGCAGATGTTTTATTATCCAAACTAGATAACATCATCAGTGCTAGCAGTGATGATGTTACCTAGTTTGGATAATGAAACATCTGCAAGAAGACAATCAAACTCAGAGAGCACCAAGGACCCCTCATAGTACATGGTAACCTATGTAGTCAATAAACACCAATGCCACTCTTGATTTGCAGAAATAACATTCCACCTTCATAAGGTTTAATAAAATTTATGTGTTTTTTGATCTCTTAGCTTGTAGAGGAGTGTTATCTCAACACTAAACAATTAAATGAAGAATCATCATCTTTCTTAATGTCTCAAAAGACATAAAATCTGGGATTCAGCTTGGCCCATTCTGCAAGCAGTATTAAGAGACAGTGGCTTTATGCTCAGACACACCTTTGAGAACCAGCACATGGAGCAAGATATCCAAACCCTCACAATGAGGATCATTTGACCTACGCACTCACACTCACTGTGTCCACTGCACTGAAAATAAATGTTGTATTTCAACTACACAGTTTAAGTGATTTAAGATGGCATTTGAAGTGGCCGGTCATGGTGAGTTGAAATCCTGGCTAAAATGTACCCCTTGCAGGTGGCTAACATAACTCCCTTCGATTTCTAATCTAAAATTGGGTGTAATGGATAGCCCCACACAAATGGCCAGAGCCCTTAAAGAAGAGAACACCTCCTTTATTCAGTAGATACGGCACTGTACAGTAAGCTGGACAATCAGCTCCGTTTTACAAACCACTTGCATTGTTCACATACAAACTGGCCTCCCTAATGCCACAAATCAATGTTGAAGGTAGAAGGTGGCCATTCCATGCAGATGCAGATGGAGCAAATATAAGAAGAATGCATGACTGCTAGTATTGCGCCCCCCCCAACCTATTTTTTTTGGATAAGCTATGTCAAGACGGATGCTGAAAAGGAGCCCATACTTGACTAGCACAATTCAAAGCAGCAATCTTCAAAGTGATTCTGCTTTCTACAGGGATATGTCAATATTGCTGGATTCCTCTGTATACGAGTAAGGAGTAGGCATAATGCTGATCCTAGCTGTATCTGTAGTTTTAAACCACCCTGACCCAACTTGGAGCACTTTAGACCACGGCCACACAAAGGTGTACGAGATGTGCTTTGCACAAAGGCACCATGACACTGGGGGGGGGGGGAGAGGGAATTATGGGAGCAATAGTATCCCAGTGCCATATTGCAGGCAATTAGGTTGAAGGATGAAGTCCTTTCAGTTACTATTCTGTGCATGTGCAAGTGTGCTGTAGAAGAAAACAGAGATTGAAGCACTGGGAAACCATAGCTGCCACATGATGTGACTTGATGTTTTGGTGGTAAAAAAATGTTTTGCACAAAGGCACCTTACAGGTCGGCGGTGGTCCTGCTCCAGACATCCTGGTCTATAACTCTTATCAGCTCAGGAAACAGCACCTGGAGGGTAGCTATTGAAAGTTATTTTAATTCTTGGCAGACAATACCCTGTGGTTGCAGCTCACCAACATTTCCCTATCCCATAGATACTTGATAAAACCACTGGGAGAGAAATGATGATGAGTACAGAAAAATACTAAGCCATGAACTAAGGATACATAATCTGTTTTTGCTTTCCTTTAAAAATGCCCAGGAAAGTCTATAAAATTCAGGAGTCTGGCTTTCCCACGAAACATCTCCAGAAAAATCAGCTATGAGATCCTGCACAGCCTAGTCTGTGACAAAGAAAACAAGAATATATTATCTGGGATAATTTACGTCTTTAACACAAGGTAGTGGTTGTCAGTGATCATTACCTAAGAGGCTAACAAGAATTTAAAATACGGCCCTTTGTAACTATGGGCTCTCCAAAAACAAATTCAGAAAAAAAATAGTGTTTTTTTTTTTAAATAAACACAATAGTTCCTACTACTTAACTAGGCCCAGCTAGCCTACATATACTGAAAGGACAGAAGACCAAAGGCAAGAATGAAAAACCAGTGTTTCTATAAACAGTTTGAAATAGGGCTTTATCAGTTGAATTGTGAGTTTAACGGACTTTTTGTAAAAACATAAAATGTCATCCCTTCTTGAGTTTTTAAGATAGCTTTTTTTTGGCATACAAAATATGGTATTTCCATGAGAGCTGCATAATTACCGTCAAGGCACCCAAAGGGGGAAAAAAGAAAAGAAAAAAGAAAATCACAAATGGGGCAGCACCAATTTGGAGAAGCCAAGCAGGATATTAAAGATTTCCTTAAATATGATATGCCTATCATGTCTCTGATAAGCACTGGTAATCTCCACTCGTCTCTGTCTCTCTCTCTCTCACACACACACACACATACACCCTCAGACACAGACACACAAACACACAGAGTACAAAGTCTTATTCTTGATTCTGAGTCTCAGCAGGAGAACCAAGGGCTTTTAGAGCAGAGTTTCTTTCAAGGCTTTTAGGCTGGGCAATATTTTATAAAGCTGACTTAGATCCTGGCTCAGGCAAACATTACCATGATAAACCTGTGATCTGATATGGGGGTAGGACATCCAATGAATATGGCCCCCAATGAAAAATCAATTATGCCCAAAGAAAGGCAAATCCTGTGATAGAAGTGATGGCACCGCAAGGGTATTCTTTTCTTCTAGTCTGGCATCAAGGTTCTTAGTGGAATGGGAAAAAATCAAAGATGTACTCCCTTGCTGTGTGCTACTGCTTCAGCTGAGTCAGGCTCTGTCAGTGGGTGGCTCTCAATTCTCGTTACAAAAATAATCTCTCACAGCCCTTCTTTTCCTGAGTCCAATTCTACATCCTGATTGCGTCTTTAATCATGCTGCAGTCTAGACAATGGAGCAGCTCTTCTGGCTACTGAACAGGATCCGCAAGCAGGTCCTCCTTCCCAACTGAAGAACATTTCAGGCAGGGTGAGCGCTGCTTGTCTCTCCGTCTCTTGTGTGCTCTGTGGCATTCTGTGCAGGTCTTGGATGGTTCTCCAACACGGACAACACGTATGTAGATACAGACAATATATGTAAATACACACACACCCAGCCCATGCACAGCTAATGTGTCGCTGGCATGATGCATGTCTGTATAGAGTTCTGCCCACCCCAAAGGCACCACGGACACTGTCACATCGGTTACCCTTGGATTCTGATGTCCAGGCCATGGATGCGTGAGCTAACCCGTATCTTCTAGGGCAGGGTAACTCACTGCTCCACCAGCCGAGACAGGCCCCAGATCTGGAACTCCCATTGGAACTTCAGCCTTCACAGTTACACCTAGAGTGAGGGGGGGAGGATTGTTTAAGACAGAGGCAGTTATTTTGACAGGAAGAATACTGATTTAGTCAGAAACAAAAGCCAATATACAATCCTTTCTAAGATCGATGACACACTCATTTCAATATCTATCTCAAAATCAATTGATATATTGATCAATTGATATATTCATTGACAAAACAGTTCTTGGGAGCAATAAGCAACACTGCATTGCCACTGGCCCATGTGTGTGTCTTCAGTTATGTGAAATTGGCAGGTACATTCAGGCGATTGAAGCATCACTCCTTTTCATGAAAATGGAATGTGTAAGATGGGGGTCAATGGGTTTTGATACATGGTCATGCCAGGCAGATAACATACCACACCCACTGCTAATACCGGGGAATAAAACAAGTTGCACCTTGTGTAGCTGAGGTGGCAATTCATCTTCTAAGCTCTCCTCTGGGACGGGCTCTGGGTGTCGAGCAGCTTGACCGTCTTCTGCCCAGCCCCCAAGTGGCAGCCGAGCAAAGTGTGATGGAGTCCTATTCACTGGACCAGGGTCTATAATAGGACAGAAAGAATGGAATTCACCCATTGCTTAAAGAAAACATTGTAACTTATTCAGAAGAGAAAATAAGAGTAAAAATTACAGGAAAAAAATGAGCTTTCAGCCACAGAAACAGTAAAGATGAAAAGGTTGGGGAACTTTTCAAGCTTATGATGGTATTATTGTTACTCTTGGCTAGTATTCTGTACCTGATCATGTTCACCTATAGTTCAGAATTCTTAACAAGAAACAAAAGCTGAGAAGCTGGCAAGGAGTCTCAGGGCAGCCTCAGTTTATGACAAGGACTGCATCTTCTATTTGATGTATTCGCCATATTATTTATAAAGAAGTTCCCTATAGGATTTAGCATTTAAAATAACTCTTACCCTTCGTAATCTGGGAGTAATGAAAGAATAAGGCCCTAATGTATAATTGATAAACAATGGAGTTAATGCAAGTCTTACTCACTGTGGTTTGCAAATAATGATTCATTGTATCCTGTGAACAATTTGCAATTGTGGCTTATTCAAAAGCCATTTCAGCCCTCCTGGCTGAAGAATGCAGAATGACCGTGGATTTACTGCCCTTTATACATACCCGAGACACCACCATAACGGCGCTGGAAGCCTGCGTGTAGAACAGATGCCTCATCACCAATTTGATGTGGGGAGGCCAAGGGATAACTGGCTGAGCGAGGCATAGCGCTGCTAGGGGTGTTCCTCTGGGCCTCTGGGTCTTCCTGGGCACTCTCCCCACTGTCATCACTCTCCCGCCGGTGCCACAAGTGTCGTTCAAGGTCCAACTGGGCATGCTGCTTGTGCAGCTGTGAAAACGAGTTAATAAACAATGTGGGACTGTGTTTAGCCAAGTGAAGGTTATTTAGATGTCCCAAGTAAATCTAGATGCAGATCTGAAATTAGTTGCCCTGCAGCCCTACATATGTGTGTTGAGTCTCCACCTGTACATACAGAAGGTTCAGTTCTCTTACCTTAAATGTAAATGTAAATGCACCTAGCTACACTGTATGATGAAGTTTTCCAATATGATCCAGCTTGATCCTCTTATAACGTCCATCCTATTTCTTAGATCCCAAGTTCAGTTTGATACTTCAGGATAATACAAGCACAAATTCCCTATGCTAGCATTTTACAGGGTGTTTAAGTTTACAGCAAAACCCTTAACATATGTCCTGATTTATATAAGCACCCTACCAGAAATGTGGAAACAGTTACATAAGTTGCAGAAATGACTTGAGAAACATTATTTAAATGCATGAGGAGTAACCATGAGAGCTGGGCAATGATTTTGACTATAACTAAGAAGTTTTAGGGGGGACATTTAAAAGCATGATTGAACATCCATCCATGACTCACTGAAACAGCCACACTGGATAGCTGCAGCAGAAGCTTTCCTGCAGCAGTTGGGAATCCTGAAACAGATATGCCTGTTGTGGAGTTGGAATTTACATGTTGCATTCAGCTCCTAAGCGTTCTTCCCAGATGTATCCAAAGGCCTGCACAGCCCTAGTAACAATAATGCTGAAGCTAACTTTTAAAATTAAGATTAAATGTAAAATAAATCCCATGCAGTTTATGTCTTCACCACATAGCTTTCACTGTCCTGCCTCTGTTTCTGTTTTGCAATGCAGTGCTAGTATACAAAGACTTCTGTGGCTTCAAGCCAAGTCTTCATAATCAGTGGCATCTCCAGCAAACTAGATGCCAAAGTGTCAACAAGCCACGTGTACTTTTCATCTTTATTATTATGTATTGTTTTGTGACAGGTTATGAGCCACCAGATCTACTTATGACTGAAGGATATTAATGTCACTTACAAATGAATAAATAAAACATGCGAATAACAATACATATTCACATATTTTAGATTTACACATATTTAATTAATATATATTTATGCTGCGATGCCTTAGGCCAGTTGCCTACCCCTGCCTCAGGCAAACTCACAAGTAGCCGCATCTATACAATGACATCTTCACACCACCGTCATTTCTTTCCTTTCCTCCTCTCCCCTGCCCCACAAACACCCCCTGCATAAGTCATCATGATCACATTACCTCGTGCATATAGAGAGCATGCAGACTCATCTCAGTGGAGGCATATTCTGAAAGAATGAGGCTCTGAAGCTGACCTTCCCAAGCACTGCTGCCAGAGCTTGCTGTCCTGGCATCCACCCTGCAGCCAAAGTGAAGGAAAAGAACCAAGATGTGGTATTACAAAAAAAAAAAATCCACTGATGTTCAAAAAGACCGCCACCCCTTTCAGCACTCATACGTCAAATAAATCAGCTTTTTAACAATCATATGTGTGCTCTGCAGCTCTATTCTAGCTGGGTACACAATCATTGGGTCATGATTCTACATCAGGGGTGTCAAACTCAATTTCATTGAGGGCCACATCAGCATTGCGGTTGCCCTTGGAGGTCCGGGTGAGTGTGGCCAGGGTGGGTGCGGCCTACTGGGTGGGCATGGCCAGCTCTACATCGTTCGCATCAAGGGTGCCTGTGGGGGCCTGGGCAGGAGTGGGACAGATCTGAGGGTCTCTGGCAGAAGGGGGTGAGACTGGGGCAAGCGCCAAGGCATGGTCCATTTCTTCATTCCTCACAAAGGGTGACACCTCCCCAGCATGCACCCAGGGGGTGGGGCCGACGCGGCAGGGGTTGGTTCATCGCTGTTTCCAGATGGCCTTGTGGAGCTAAGACTGAATGCGCTTCAGCATAGATGGCCACCGCAAAATTGTACATTGGCTCCTGGCCGGCCTGGGCCAGGGCCAAGGCAGCGGGGGCCGTTCCCTCACTGTTTCCAGGATGGCTTCGCGGGCCACATGAAACCACTTCGTGGGCCGCATCCGGCCCCCGGGCCTTGTGTTTGACATGTCTGTTCTACATCATCCAGAACGGGGCCACAAAACACACATTCAAAATACAAAGCAGCTTTTGTGAAGCTTTGGAGAAGTTACCAACTTTATGACGCTTCAATCACACCCAAAATCTAGATGCAGAAAGGGACAATTAAAGGCCTAAAAATGTTCAGTTTAGAGAGAAAAAAAATGCCATTGCCCTCCTTCCCCTCTACCAGGAAAAGCATCAAATAAAAATTACTCCTCAGACAATACTCTCAAAGCATCCCAGGTAAAATATTGATGAGATGCTTGATCTCTAAGAATTTTTCTAGATACTTACTGCCCACTACTTCTTACCCCGAGCCTGTCATTGTGCCAGGTCCCCGAAGTTGGGCACCATCAGCGTGGGAACTCCCATGTGTTGTCTGGGTAGACTGAAGAGGGGAGAAGGAACGCAAAGCAGATGCCACCTCAGAGACAGCAGACAGATGCCGCGAAGTCTGTGCATCACGGATTGTCTGGTACCCAAGTGCTGAGGAGCCAGCAATCACATTGGCAATCAGACTGTGTGGCTGCAGACAAAAGAGGAGAGGGGATTTAATTCTGCAGGAACGGGATTCTCTCCTCAGGTCTGTCACTAGAACTTCACTACTTATCCAGTTTTAGCTCTGAACTTGTGGTGGGCAGAGCTAGAACCTCTCACTCTCCCATTCTGGAAGCTAATCCATTCACTTATATCCCTAGAAGGTATGTGGGATTTTCAGGAAGAGGTTAAAACTGGATAGTTGACTTTTTACATAGGGAAAAGGAGAGCAAGAGATTCAATGAGATTCAGTGACAAACCTTTATAGAAATTCTATAGGAGGCACATGAAATTTATGAGGGTGTCAATAACAGAGATACTGTGAGGACTGGGGCTGGCTTCTTCTAAAGCAGTGGTTCTCAACCTTTTTAATGCCGCAACCCCAACCGGTCGTAAGTCGAGGACTAAACCGGTCGTAGGTCGAGGACTAAACCGGTCGTAAGTCGAGAACTACCCAGCCGGTCGTAAGTCGAGGACTTTCCCTGCCCGGGAGCACCACGCATGCGTGGTTCCGCCCCCTGCGCCGGCCGAGGCGTAGCTGGCAAGCGGCAGAGACAGAGCAGGCCGACCACCAGCTGGCCCAGCCCAAGGGAGGTAAGGCACCCGCCGGAAAAGTGAAAAAAAATGGCGGACAAAAAAAATGGCGGACAGCCTTGCTTGGCGACCCCCGTGAAATGGTCGATCGACCCCAAATGGGGTCCCGACCCACAGGTTGAGAACCACTGTTCTAAAGGGTTTGGGATAAGGACTCAACTCTGTGATTTTCTGAGAGCCACACGAGGCTATTCACTGATATCACTAGAAGATATATGGCCAAAAATCTTTAATTTTTTTTCATTCTTTTGAAAATGAGGTGAAAATCGTCTGGAAACAAAAACAAATTGCTATTGTTCCTATCCTTAAACTCCTCAAAAATGGGCAAAATGACTGTCAAGAATTTGTGAATATTATTGAATTGAGACTGAATTATTCCGGGCCGCTAGAAAATGTTGCTTGCAGCCCCTAGGTTCCCTATTTCTGTTTTAAGAAGTGCAAATGAAAGATGGAATACGAGAAACCTACTCAAAGCAGCGCATGGAAGATTTCAGCCTATACAACAGTTCTCACAACAAAGATGGTTTCCCGTGAACTGAGTTAATGCTACTCTTGTGAAAAGAGGACTAGAGCTGTGAGGAAAGTCGTTATGCAGAACTGGTCAAGTCTTCTTAGAATATATACAGAAGTGTTTGGGAGCCGTAGCCCATTGGAGCCACTGCGCAGAGCAAATGACCATGCATGATTGGCATTGTGCCTCGTTTCTTCTCAGCCTAATCAGCCAGAACACTATTCTTGGCTTAGATTCCCAGTTTCCCCCCCATTCTTGAAGCCCTACGAAGAGACATCAATTCTCTCCTTTTTCAGGGCAGGACATGCACGGCAACAGATACATCTCAGAAAAGTAGCTTTGCCATTTGTTAACTCTCATCATCTTCCGTGTGGGTACCTCAGATTCAGACTGTAGTGACTGGATAGAGGTGAAAAGTGCATTGTCAGGCAAGACAGCCTGCTGGGCCAATGCCAGGCTGCTGTCACGGTGCACCCGCTCCTTAAGCAAGCCAATGAAAGCTGTGCTCTCCCGAGGCGGTTGCCAGTGTGGATTGGTGATGGCAAAATGCATGAGGGACAGCTCTGTCTTGCCATCCTCGGCCTGCTGGTAAATGGAGGCTTCTGTCTTCCCAGCTGACATCCACTGCAAAACAATCAGAGCAGAGTTCAGAAAAGTTAAAGAGCTAACTATCTCCCTATCCTGATTTACTTGATTTTATGCAAGCAAAAATAATAATAATAATAATACAATGGCTTCTCCTTTGAATCATTACTTTTTCCAATATACAGTTATTCCTTTTAAAAAAAATTACAAAAAGTGTATATCTGATTTGTAAATCACCTTTCATATTGTGAAAATGAAATTCTCAAGTGTACTACAAGCCTAAAATAGTGATTTGGCTTTTACAGTAATTTAAGGCTATGGTAGAAAAAAAACCAAACTATTTTGTACCTTGATAACTTAGCTGACAGAATGAAAGCAATTACCACCACATAAAAACTGCCTTTTACTCTTTGATCTCTTCACTTCTGTCCTCTATGACTTAAATCACTTTTCAGACATACTTTCATTCAATTAACATTCTACTGAAGAAGGCAAACCAAATGGCCTTTTCTGAATTCGTAATTAATTTCCATTTTTGTTTTGTTTTTTTCATTTTTGCTGGGACTTACTGCAGGATGCCCATGCTGGCGCACATCCATTTGGGCAAAGGAGCAAGTGTCTCCCACACCCACAACCTCCACTGTAAAGTTGCGGAAGAAATCGATGATTTCCAAAGCTTTGGGCCTCAGACAGAAAATGAGAATCAAGGGCGTCACAATGGGACTAAGCAGCTCTTCCAAGATGAACACCTTTGGACACAGAAAACAAACTGTTAACCCTTAGATCAGTGGTGGCGAACCTATGGCACGTGTGCCAGAGGCGGCACTCGGAGCCCTCTCTGTGGGCACATGCGCCATCACCCCAGCCCCGCCTCCTCCCGCAGCCCCATCCTCACCAGCAGCCCCCCTGGAGGAGAGTAGCCCCTGGGCACAGCCCGCACAGAGCAGCGCAGCCAAGGACATAGCCGGCAGCAGGGACAAGACTCCGCCCTTGTGCGCCCTAACGTGCAGATGATGCTGCGGGGTGTGGGCGGAGGGCGTGGCTGCCATGGCGCTGCAGGGCTGCCTGGGTGATCTGCTGCGGTGGGTCATGGAGGCGGTGCGTGGCCCTGCGGGTGGGCGGGCCAGGGGGTAGGTGGGGGTGGAGCAGGCAGGGTGGGAGGCGGAGTGGGGGCGGGGGGCGGTTTTTGGGCACTCGGTGTCTAAAAGGTTCGCCATCACTGCCTTAGATAAACACCCCAGTGAATATTACCAACATAACTCAGGATGACTACAGGCACGACCGCTGTTCCGAATGTTCTATAGTTAGAGAAAGCCCCCAAATTTCTGGAGATTCTTATATAAACATCTTGTTTATAACTAGGATCTACTCAGGACCTCCCTCTATTGACAGTGCCCTCCCCCCCCCTCTAACCTATCCTATCTTACTTACTGCCTTGTACTGGAAGAGCTGAGCAAATTCATCTCTGGTTTCATAACGATGGGCATTGCCTTGCCAGTGGTCAGGCATGTAATGGATGTGTGCCAGAATCACCCGAAGCAGCTGCTCTGGGCAGAAAACCAGGTGTTGGTCTGGGATGAAGGACCTACAGGGACAGATAGGTGCACAAGCTACATAAACTGAAGCCAATGAGCTCTACATCCCTTGGCAAGAAGCAGCAGACAGAAAGTACCTTGTTGGCAAAGGGTGCATATTGCTACTGTCTAGACCAGGGGTAGGCAACCTCGGCTCTTTTATGACTCATGGACTTCAACTCCCAGAATTCCTGACTCAGGAATTCTGGGAGTTGAAGTCCATGAGCCATAAAAGAGCCGAGGTTGCCTACCCCTGGTCTAGACTTTTTATTTTTATAGTAAAGGATAGACCACAAATAAAGATTCTGTAGGAATTCTTAGTGCTTCAGATACAGCACAGGCAGCTCTAATCCATGTATTCATGGTGGAGGAAGGCAAATTAATCTTACAGATTTTTGTACCACGTTATATTCCAGTTTGAAGACTTTCGGATTGCATTATGTTTGTATCAAAAAGATTCATAAAGTGCAATGTTAGCTGACATGTAGGGCAATCTTGCAATGATTCCTCCAATGCCAATTGTGAATTGACATGACGTTGGCTGCAGATTTCAACCACTGAACAACTTTATATTGTAACCCATAAAATGTCAGGTTGATTTAAATGCTGATCCATAAACAACAATGTAAAAGAGAAATCTTCTACTTGCAATTATTTATACCAATAAAGGTTGAAATAAGGGGTCTTTGGTACTCTCTGAGCTTGACAGTTTTCTTACAGATGTTTTATTATCCAAACTAGGCAATATCATCAATGCTAATAAGGGGTTGGGTTTGCTCTCTGTTTATAGCAAGCCACTAGAACAGTGGTGGCGAACCTATGGCACGGGTGCCAGAGGCGGCACTCGGAGCCCTCTCTGTGGGCACACGTGCCACTGCCCCAGCCTTGCCTCCCCCCACAACCCCCTCCTCTCCAGCAGCGCCCCGGAGAGTCGCCCTCGAGCGTGGCCCACGCGGAGCAACGCAGCCAGGGACATGGCAGCCAGGCAGCGTAGACAAGACTCTGCCCTCATACCCCATCGTGCAGTTGATGCTGCAGGGCGCGGGCAGAGAGTGTGGCCACCATAGCGCTGCTGGGCTGCCTGGGAGATCTGCGGCGGGCCCTGGAGGTGGTGAGTGGTCCTGTGGGCAGGTGGGGCGGGGATGGGGGGGGCAGAGCAGAGGCGGAGCAGGGAAGTGGAGCAGGGGCGGGGCCAGTTTTTGGGCACCCGGTCTCTAAAAGGTTCGCCATCACTGCACTAGAATATAATCTAAGAGCAAAGAGCACTTTTTTACAAGCACTGATGATGTTACCTAGTTTGGCTAATGAAACGTTTACAAGAAAACAACTAAGCTCAGAGAGAACCAAGAACCCCTCATTTATTTTTATCCTGTTTGTTTCTTCCTATTTCATCTCTTCATTCGCTAACTCTTCCACTGTCTTTCTCCATTTCAATTCCCTTAAGGAAGCTGCTGACTTGACCACTAGTACTTTTTCCTTCTCTGCTATGAAGTTACAGTATCTGCACTTTATAGACAGTGAACAACTATGCCCCTGCTAGGTTCACCCAAAAAAAACCCCCCTATAACATGTGACAAGTCTAAGATTCCTGAAAACCCAGATTTTGTCTCCTGACATCTCAAAGCTTTACGGTGAGAGTGTTAGAATGAATTCAACTTCAAAACATCCTGCCAACATGATTAATGAATTAGGAAAGTCCTCTGCTTAACTGAACTGAAAGACACGAATTGTGAAGCTTAGTTAAGTCTCAAACTCGTGGCACTCTAAAACAGTGTTTCTCAACCTTGACAATTTTAAGGCATGTGGACTTCAACTCCCAGAATTCCACAGCCAGCAATGCTGGCTGTGGAATTCTGGGAGTTGAAGTTCACATGCCTTAAAATTGTCAAGGTTGAGAAACACTGCTCTAAAATGTCCTAGATGTAACTGCTAAAATAGGAAAGAGTACTGCTGCTAATTTGTCTTCTAGCAGTAAAATCAGAAACGGACCAAACGTTAAGAGCCCTTGTTGTTTAATAGATTTTTTTTAAAAAAAATAACAGAATGCTTTTAATTACTACTTGCTTTCATAGTAACAGTTATTATTCTCCAAGCATAAAGAAAGCCTCCGAAGCCACGAAAGCTTCAATCCAGCCATTCCCACTCACCTGCAGACAGTGACCGCCACTCCCAGGAGGGTGACAGTTGTGAGGACATGCTCTACAGCAAGTACATCTTCATCATAAATTGTGAGGGCAATGAGGACAGCAAGGATAGAACCAGCAAAGAAGGCCACGTTCTTCGCCACAACAGTAAACAGGGGAGAAATGAAACAGTTCATGTACTTAGAAGCTGGCTTATAGCCTTTGCTGAGCCTTGAATGCAACTCGTGATCCAGCTCGTTGAAATGTCGCAGGTAGCAGCGGCCATAGAGAGACCAGCAACGAGCACCCAAGCTGCCCGGCTCTCTCTTGAGAATTTCGGTGTAGCTGAAGAAAGCATAAAGAATCTGCCATATAAGTATAAGGGGGCAAAGGAGAAAATTAGCAATGCCAATCCATAAGATACGGGTGCCCAATTTGTCAGCCAGCTCCATGCGATTGCTACCACGCTTGTACTCGGCCTTCAGACTCCATTCATTCTCAAACAGCGAGCCAGGGCCCCAAAAGAAAATAAGTTCAAAGTTGTACTTGAGGCCACGCGTGTAGAAGACAGTATCTCCCAGTAAGGGAAGATGGAAGCGCACAGGCAGGAGTGACTTGTTCACTATGGCTACCATGTAGTTCTTGAAGCGCAAGATGCGGTGATAGATGTCCAGTTCTGTCAGCTCCTTCTTATGAATGCAGATCTGGTGCTCCTTTTGGATTTGTATAATCCGTGCTTGTACCTCCTGCCAGGTATAGTAGGGCAAATTGGACTGCAAGCAAGTAGACAAGAGGATGTAATCAGTGGTATGATTAGGGCAATGGAATAGCTTCCCCTGAACTTACTGGAAGAAGGCAATAATTTTACCACTTCCATGCTAGTTCCCCCAAAAAAACCCAACATATCCATGTGGGCATTAGGAGTCAAGCTTCAGTGAATCCTCCAGTCTGAGAATTATGTGTAGAACAAGTATTTTTGGTCCTGTGTCTAATCAATTCTTCTGTCCTCAATGTAAAGATAACACTTATTCATGTGTATAGCAGGGGTGTCAAACTCAATTTCATTGAGGGCCACATCAACATTGCGGTTGCCCTCGGGCGGGGGACAGGGGTGTGTGGCCAGGGTGGGTGCAGCCTACTGGGTGGGCGTGGATGGAGTGGGTGTGGCCTACTGGGTGGGCATGGCCAGCTCTACATTGTTTGCGTCAAGAGTGCCTGTGGGGGCCTGGGCAGGAGTGGGACAGATCTGAGGGTCTCTGGCAGAAGGGGGTGGGACCGGGGCAAGCGCCAAGGCATGGTCCATTTCTTCATTCCTCACAAAGGGTGACACCTCCCCAGCATGCACCCAGGGGGCGGGACCAACGTGGCAGGGGCTGGTTCCTCGCTGTTTCTGGACGGCCTTGTGGAGCTAAGACTGAATGCGTTTCAGCATAGATGGCCACCGCAAAATTGTACATTGGTTCCTGGCCAGCCTGGGCCAGGGCCAAGGCAGCGGGGGCCGTTCCCTCACTGTTTCCAGGATGGCTTCGCAGGCCACATGAAACCACTTCACGGGCCGCATCCGGCCCCTGGGCCTTGTGTTTGACATGTCTGGTGTATAGAGATCTGCTCCACTTCACAAGCACGTAATTCCAAAACCTCTTGTATGTCTCCCATGGAACTTCAGTCAACTTTCTTTTGAACTGTCAAATTCAAGATATGTCAAAAAGCGGTGCAGATTTCCAGTCACAAGTATATAAAATGAAGGCAATTTTAAACCTGAAAGAATGACACCATGCACAGCAGCAGCAGCAGCAAAAAAAACAAACAAACTCTCATACAGAGAGCTTTTCTGCATTAATTCATTTGCTTGCTTGTTCCTATAATTCTGACATTATACAATTAAGCTAAACATTCCCAGGTCCTGGGGGAAGAGAAGCAAATTCTTAATAAAGATACTCAGCTTCTAACAGAGCTGGCCAAGTGTCTAGAAATAGATACCGGCAATCCCAGAAAAGCAGCTGCAGATATATTAGCCGTGCCACTCAACTAAGCAAATCAGAAGAACAAGATGGATCAATGGGCAGAACTAAGCTTTCATGGGATTGTCACCAGACTGGAAAAATCAGCAACACTGTACAACTGCAAAGAAAGGTCAGTAAGGAGCAGCACATAGCAAGTAAATTCAGATAGACTAGCAAGGCGTTTGGGGAGAGGGAGGGTTTTAAAAAATGGAGCAGGTTCTTATTTCCTCTTTATTGCTTTGACAAGAATCATATCTCTACTAAATGATTATAAAATATTTACAATATTGGTTGATAAACTAAAAAAGAGTTTTACATGATGATCAATGTGGGTTTTACCCAAAAGACAATTAAGAGGTGGGAGAATTGTATTGGATGTAATAGAGTATTTGCAACAGCATAATGAGAAGAAAATGGCACTGATTTTTCTTGAAACAGAGAAAGCTTTTGAAAATTTGGTCTTTTATGTTCAAAATTTTGGAATCTGGACTTTGGGGAGAATTTTACTCAAAGGAGAAACTATACACATATCAAAAGGCACATATTATTATTAATGGTGATGTAACTAAATCATTGGAAATACAGAAGGGGACAAGACAAGGATGTCTTTTATCACTTTTGCTTTTTATTTTAGTTTTAGAAGTGTTAATTGGAGATATTAGGTTGAAAATAAAAAAAAGAGACCTACACACTGAGGGCTTTTGGCTTGGTTTTGCAAGAACCTCAGAATGGTATTGAGCACTTCATGAAATGAAGAAACTGAAAGACTTTGGTGCATTAAATGGATATAAGTAAATCCAAACGTTTTGTTTTTAATAGAAAAAAAGAAAAACGTTGGTTAAAAATATGAGTACACAAGATCAAGAGACTCTGATGAAAAAGATGGCTTCTAAAATTGAGAAGATGATTAAATATCTAGGGGTTATATTGACTAATATGAATTGTAGGCAGTTTCAGAATAACTGTGCTAAGATATGGAATTATATTAAAAAAGATTGATTGAGGTAGGACAAACAATAACTGTCACTGTTGGGTAGAATTTGATGACTATAATTGTTTATGATTATAAAAGTACTGTGCGTTATAGTTAACCTCAGAATAAAAAACTGTTGTACTTGTACAAACAAAGAATATACCTACTACCTTGCTGGAAGTAGAGTAGGCTTGTTAACCCAGCATTTTTTTCCCCCAATGATTAGCGAGACGTCCCTGGCATGCCTGCAGAAAGACACTGCATTCGCTGGTAATCATAAGGCCTCTACACAAAAAAGTTTCACTTAGGCACTTTTTCACTTGAATGAACTACAGGTGAAGTGAATCTCAGTAGCTTACCATGGGAATCTTGAGTGCATTCACGTAAAAAGAATGTATTTCCCAATAGCAGCAAATATTGTAAATAAATTTAATCAGCCGGTGAATCCAAAAGACCCCTGCAATCACTAGGATGGAGAGAAGAAATCCATTGGCTTGGATTCTATGAGAGAGAAAGAGAGAGAGAGAGAGACTGAGTCACAGATGGGAAAGAATAGCTACTGCCTTATGCTTTAGAAAAATGAATAAACTCTTCTCTCATTACCAGAATTCAGGCAACTCTAACAAAGTCTGGAGAACGTGTAATACTAAGATACCAATCACCAAAACAACTGGGCTGGTAAGACTAATGGGAAGTACCAAGGACATCAATATATAAACAAAACAAAGCTCTATTAATCATATGGCATCACCTACTCACTCCCAGTCAAACCAGTCCTTGATGATTCAAAACATAAATCAAAATATCATAAATAAAATTATAATTATAAATATAATTTATAAAATTATAAAATATAAAACAAATAAACTGACTGTACATCCAGATAAAGAACACTGCATACATTCAAGTTTAAAAATATGAAAGTGGTCATTTTAAAACATATTTTCCCCCCCTCTATGGGTGGTTAGCCCATTTACTGGGAACAGAAGACCAAAGATGAGCTAGCTAACCTTATTACAACGGCTGTAAGTAAATAATGACATGTTAAGATCCATTCTAACTGTTATTAGGGATCCCAAATTTGCCAGGGTACATTCCATTTCCCAAGTAAAACAACTGAAAACATTTCTAACTAGAATCTAAATTTGTCAGCATATAGTGCTGATGGAGTGTTACCTATTATGAAGCTGGGGAACTTGCTTATATAGGAGATCTTGTGTTAAGTCTCACCAAGATGAACAAGGGATGTGGCTGTATTTAGTCACTTCTATCTTTACCTGGCACTGCACTCATTGGGAGGCAGGAAAGCATCTGGCAGAGTCACCTTGACTGGGTCACTGGAATGCTGACTGTGATTCACCAGTTTGTTGGCAAAGAGAATATCATAGTCAACACAGCTGACAAGGAATGTAGTAAAAGCCACAACAAAGATGAACTGCCTATAAGAACAAAGAGGAAAAAATTGGGTGCATTTTACTTCCTTCCTCTTCAAAGAACCTGGGATAACAGAAGGTATCAGGGTTCAATTTTGAAACTGAGTCGGAAAATCGAGACAGGATTGAATTATTCAACTGAAATAATAGGAACTGAGCATTGAGAAGTATCACTAATCTAGGTGAGAGATTATTATATTTTTCACCTTGCTGACAAGAGGGCTCATAGGTACATAAAAACAATTTCTACAAATCCCAGGAACAAAAGATTATACTCACATTAACTCAAAGATCTCACTGATAAGCATGCAAGTGAAGCCATTCTTCTGGTGCAGGTTATAGACGTGAAGATTACAGTCAAGGAGAATTGCCAAACTTTTAGCTGTAGAATCTACCCTTAGTTTCAACTGTGACTTACAAATGGCATTTTCTCTCCTACTTTAAACTGCTATAAGCTTGCTATAATATTAAGCAGTTATCAGTTGAGGTAAGAAGTCAGTAACTCTCTTCATAAATAATTTCCTTTAGAAGTGCAGGTAGTCCTCGCTTAGGAAGTTACGACAGATGTCCCCCCCTCCCCAAAGTTACCTATGACCCTGTTCTCAAAGTTATGACTGCTACACTCCGCCACAATAATGCAATTGCATTTTGGGGACTTGGCATCATGACTGGTTGCAGCGTCCCGCATTCCCATGACGTTTGAGGTTATTTTGCTAGTTTCAGGCATTTCTGGCTGGTTTCTAGTAAAAATCATTTAACGGTCACATAGTTTGTTTAATAATCACAGTGACTTCTTTATGACTATTGTATAAAAAGGTTGTAAAATCAAGTCAGGTCACCTGGTGATCCATTTAACAACTGCAAAGACTTACAACCAAAATTCCAGGCTCAATTGTAATTATTAAGTAAGGACTATCTGTACATACAATTAACATCCTTATATCTTTTGTTATCTTATCTGTGAGCAATATATCAGTTGAAAGAATCATTTCTAAATGAAATATACAGTATGTATTTATACATATATAATTTATATGTTAAGTGTAATTGAAACTGAAACTCTAGGTTTTTTTTCACTTATTTACAATAATACTCTGTTGAATACAATTAATCTATCAATTATTTCCTAACTTATGTCACTATGGCTTATTATTGTAATAATTTCTTAATCCTGAAACTAAAAGGCTTCTTGTAAGTGACTTCCAATTTGGTGCAATTAGAATTCAACTTGAGGTTCAATCATTTTGTCCCTGCAATCAGAAGGATATACGAGAGAAAAAAAGATCCAGATTTTCAATGTGATGCCAATGTGGAGCTACAAGACAGAGACAATATGTCAAAAGTATTCATTCCAACATTCACCATAGAAGATTTTACAGGACAGGGAGAATGTCTGCCAAAAGAGAACCCCATTGCACAAAGAGCTGCAAATACCAGTTTCACTTAAAACAATCTCATCCAAAGGGAATTAAGAGGCATTTGTGTTTTGGATTTGAGATGAAACATTCCATTTCCAGGAGAAGCAGACTATAAGAATGGCATCTGAAATATTTAAAACCAATTATGGAAACATCCCTCCACTAAATTTAATGAAAATTAGGATCATATTGTACAAGAAATGCAGTTTCTCTACCAACATGGGACAGAATCCCCAGTTTTCCTTTTCACCATGCATCCCATTAGACCAGTGGTTCTTAACCTTTTTGAACGAATCGCCCCCTTGAGCCAATGAGGAAGTTGTCATCGCCCCCCTCCCCCAACATAACCTCTCAATCACAACATAGGAAATAATTCTTCAACTTATGCAAACACTTTTTTGTTTTCTTTAAAATTGTCATCAGGACAATGCAAATAATTTATTTCCAGTCTTTTTCCCATATCTCAACTGTTTGAAAAGTTTTGGTGCCACCCGTCACTTTATTCCCAAACTTCGTGATACATGTATTTCATTATTATCTTATTTATTCAAGACACTTAAATGTAATGACCACTGAAAGCAAAATTCAATTGCAAGAAAGTGAAAGGCCCAAAAAGAAAAACAGTAACATTTAATGATTGTTTAAGACGCAAAAAGAAATATAAAAAGGGTAGAGGCTGCTGCACAACGCGCATGAAGATAAGCGATGCGTATTCATCCACTAATAGCGAGCGATCTGATGTTTTTGTACGACAGATATGCAGCAATTCACTGTACGAAAAAGTCTCAAAAGTGTCCCCAAAACTTCTCGCTCCATCGCCTCCATATCGCCCCCTTTTTGTTCCTTTGCCCCCGCGTCACCCCTTTTTGTTCCATCGCCCCCCTGAAAAATGAAATCACCCCCGATATCGCTCAGGTTAAGAACCACTGCATTAGAGTTTCTGACACTGAGATTAACAGTCCATCTATACTTACATTTGCTGCCCTCAGCAACATGAACCATCAGATTTTCTTCTCCAGGGGGAGAGTCATTATATGAGGCCTCCAGTCGCTGATACTCGGTATCAAAGTGAGCCATATTGTCATCTAAATTCTTATAAGCTCTGACATAAAGGACAGTGAAGGACAGAGAGAGGAGGGATCAGCAATTTGATGTAAATGCGAGCCATCAGTTAAATAGTTCATAACTTCTTCTTTTAAGCTATACTTATGTACAGAATACCAGAGTAAAAGAAGAGGAAACTATTAAGAAACTATAGCAACAAGCAGGTAGTAAACATGAAAGAGTAGAAAATTATGTATGTTACTAGTTCTTCTTTTTGCTGAAGTCTGAGTGGGTCACCTATCTGGTCACTACTTGAGAAGAAAACAACAAGGAAAAACACTTCATTTCATTAAAAATTCTGTTCATTGTCCAGTCTTTCAACTTCCATTGCCTCCATATTTACAAGTTGCAGTCCTAAAACAAAATAACCTATTACATAAGCACAGATTTGACAAAAATACTTATGCTGTATCAAACTTTCCCTAAATGCAAATGAAACTACATTTTCACGTCAAATAAATATACCACCCTTTTTGGCCTTTGTAAGACCTTTTTTTCTAGTTTTATTTTCAGTTATTTGTTATTATAGCATTAAAATGCACATAAGTGAAAAAATACATGCTAATTAAAAATAAATCTTGAGTAATGTAACAAATATATGACATAAAATGCTATCAAATAACCTTTTCATTTAAAAACAAAGGAAAAGATTACATTAAGAAGTAGGAAAACACAACAGAAAACTGTCTCAGAGAGCTAATTCTGCCACAAATACCAAATTCTGGACTGTGAAATCAACTCAAATACAGTGAGTGCACAAGGAGAGGATTAATCTATAGTTAGCACTGCTAGAAAGCTACGTGTTATTAAAAATTGATCTGTTCATCATGCGCAAATTAATATAGAATTGAAGGTTCATGCTAGATCAGATAAAAACTTATTGAACTCAGCATTATGGGTTCAATAGACAAAATAGATAGACACTCTAGGGAGACCACAAGCAGGACATGTCTGCAACAACCACTTTCTATCATTGTCCTTAGAAACTAGGATTCAGACCATAGGGTTTCTGATATTAGAAAGCCAAGATTATTTGTGGCCATTGGTAGATTCTTCATGAAAGTTTAATGCTTTCTGCTTTGGACAATCACTACATTCCAGGGCAAAGAATCTTAACTTAACATGCATAATTTTATACACTAAACCACATAATTTCTTGCATATCCATCCTTTCTTTGGGGCAGTCAGTATTACTGTTGCTTTCTTGCAGTGTCCTTTGAGAACCCATATTCTGGATTTCAAGTTATCAGCACAACACTGTTTATATCAATTCATTATTCTACAATTGAAAATCAGCAAGTGGTCCATTACCAATTTTCTGATGCTGCTGCGTTAAAGGGTCCCAGGAATATGATAGGAAGGCAGATGATGCTCTTGCCTTCTGAGTGCCTGCTTGCATTGTTGCCAGTTCTGCAAATAAAAACAATCCCACCAAACTTTAGATATTTCTCTTGGTGTGTTTAGGATAAAATCTGTTGTCATCCTGCAGAGAGGCAACCCACTCACCCACAAGAAACAGCGGCTAATCTGCCGCCTCCCATGATTGACAAACTGCCTCCGTCTGTAGTGTGACAAAATAAACCCTTCCCAATACATAAGACAAAAAAACGGGGCAAAAACTAACCTGTTCCATCTTGTCCTAATGCTGCAGAAACATTCAGTTTGCTTTGTGGTTGGCAAGACTGAGTGATGTCTCTAAGTCTTGAGTCTCCACGCGTTTTTCTCACCTTGTAAACTGATGTCTGGAGGGGGGAAAAAAAGCACAAAAAGCTCATTTACAGTGGCGACTTCCACCGGGAGTGGGGGGGGGGTACCCTTATGTAAGTATCAGGAGAGCGAGAACTAGAGCCGCCTTCTTTTCAGCAATTGCACCAGACCCGCAGAGGGTAGACCCCGGCAGAGGCCTGTTCACCCGGGACTCGGGCAAGGTGAGCAAAGGTGGTACATCCTCGGACGACCTGGCCATTGGGACTTGCTACGGGTGGCTGGGGTCAGCGTCGGAAGTCTCCACTACTGCGGGACCCCTTCCCCCTCCCCCTTATTCCTCCCCGGGATAATTGACAGGGGACGTCTGGGTTCCAGGAGCATTCAGGAAGTCCCGAGCTGTTGTTTTGTTTTGGCTGCGCGAGCTCCGGTAGGGAGGAGCCTTCCTCCGAGGTTGTTTACACGGGAGAAGGAAAGCCCGGGTTGGAAAGAACGCGGGGCGCTCTCCTCCTCCTCCTCCTCCTCCTCCTCGCCGGCTTTTTCCCCCGGAACTAAGGAGGCTCACCTCTGCGGTCGCCCCTGGTAACCTGCCAGAGACGCCGCCGCTGCCGCCGCCGCCGCTTGGGGATTGCCACTTACTCTTTCTCCTCCGCCGCCTTTCCCTCCGTCTGGCGTCTTCCGCTACCAATCAGAGGTCACGACGGGACGAAGAGGTAGAAACAGGGCGGACCAATGAGAAAGCCGCGGGGAGGAGGAAGTGAGACAGAGAGGATTGTCTTGTAAGAGGGAAAAAAAAATAAATCCTCGATGACGGACGGAAGTGACGTTTCTCACCCGGTGACAGAGTTGAAGATCTCGTGGAGCGGGGCGACTTCCTGCTCTGGCGGGCTGTGCGGAGGTATCAGGGATTGGCTTAGCTGGGCTGTAGAGGAGCCACCGCCTTCCACCACCACCCCGAATAGTTGTGGCACAGGGTAGGAGCGTTGGGTAGTTGAGCCAGAAGGGGGATGGAGGTTGTGCGGATGACAATAGCCGGTTGGTAGTCTGTGTTCAGCAGAGGTGTTTTGAACGTTGCCCCTACGCTTATTCTGTATCTTGATTATAGGGAATGCTAGATAACGTTGATACAAACAGCATGGACAAAGGGATACTTTTTCGACCGGTGTAGTAACAAGGGTAACTCTTCCAAAGATATTCCAGCAATCTTTTTGATTTTGTCCATCTCCTTATCTGCTGTTTCCCCCTATTTTCTATTTATCTCAACCTTGCTAGTTTTAACCGGTCCGACATCTACCAGCATCACATTATGAAACTATGTATATTTCTACTTGTAGATCATTGATTCAAGAGAACAGACTTTTTTTTCCCCTTATTGATTTCTTTATTGATTGGTCCCAGTTTCTGCCAGTTGGAAAGAAAATTTCCAACTCCCATCTCCTTGAGTCCGTTGCTGTTCACCTTGATGACCCACGACTGCTGTGCCAAATCTGCTATGAATCATATTGTGAAGTATGCAGATGACAGGGCAGGGTGGGTCTTATCCGGGATGTCAGTAAAGATGTTTATAGGGAAGAGGTGAAGCTCTGGTGGACTGGTGCAATGAAAGTAACCAGGTTCTAAATGTTGATAAAACAGAGATCATTGTAGGTTTCAGAAGGAGCCGGCATAGTCGTACCCCACTCAGTATCAAGGATGCAACTGTATAGGTGGTCAACTGTATTAAGTATCTGGGGGTGCAGATAACTAACAATCTGAATTGGTCTTTTCACACCTCAATCCTTAGTGAAGCATACAAACCAGCATCTGCATTTCCTGCATCGGATGAGGAGAGCGCATCTCTCTCCTTCTGTCCTGGCCACTTTTTACAGAGACACGATTGAGAGCATTTTAACAAACTGCATCACTGTCTGGTTTGGTGGCAGCAGTGCCTCAGATAGAAAGTCCATACAGATATTGTTAAGGACAGCCAAGAAGATTATAGGAAGTCCACTTCCCATTATTGAGGACACTGCTTATAAGTGCTTCGTGCTTAGAGCTTGAAGCATTGTTAGAGACCCCACACACCCACTTTATGGTCTGTTTCTGTTGCTCCCCTCTGGGAGGATTTTTCAAAGTATTTCTAGCAGGACTACCCAATTCTGTAATAGCTTTGTTCCCTATGCCATCCATCTGGTAAACTTGCAAGATTCGTTTCTCTTGCCATGCACATGTATACATAATCTGAGCTAGACTGCGTTTCTCTGTTCACATAATATATGGGGGTATATGCATAATTATGTATGTATGTCATATTTATGTAGTGTATATTGGAGGTGGTAACTCTTTGAAAGCTATACGCAATGAAGTTTCATTTTAATGTATACTGATTAATGTACACTCAAAGTGACAATAAAATTGTTCTATCCTGTCCTATCCTATCGATCCAGGATTGACTGGCTCTTCTTGCAGTCCACAGTTCTCTTAGAAACTATTTCCACCTCCCTAATTCAAAGATATACCTTTTTTCTTTTTCTCCCTCTCTGCCTTTCACAGTTATACATTATCACTGAAAGATTACAGTATTAACCATTCTTTTTGTTATAGAAATGCTCTTTCATCATGTATGCTTGTCTTTCTCTCTAGGATTAATCCCCCTATACATTTCCAACACGCTGTCAATCTTGAGCCAAGGAAAACATCTCACCTTCATTTCCTCACCATCAGCTGTAAGTTCACTGAGCTGTAAGTTCAACATTATTTACTATTAATCTAAATGTTTTACTTTCCATTTTTATTTTCACAATCAGATTTGTGATATCTGCATTTCTCAAAGGTATTCTGGCACTCCCATTAGTCTGACTGTATTGCATATTCTGATATGGCTTATACAATCAGTGGCCTAATTGTATTCAACAAAAGCAACCACCTCCTCAATTTTTCTTGCTCTCTTCATTATCCATCTTGTTAGTCATCTGATTTCATGACCTGCGTTTTTTGAAACCAGGCTGTTTGTTGGATTTTTATTTCTGTTACCTTAAAATATTGTTCAACCTTTTCCTTCCATTTCTTTTTCAATTTGTTGGTATTCTTAATTGAAATGATTGCTTGTTCTTTCCTGCAACATACATGTAGACCTTGACTTACAACCATTTGCTTAGTGACCATTTGAATGTACTACAGCACTAAAAAAGTGACTTACAACCGATCCTCATACTTAACGATCATTGTAGCATCCCCAATGGTCATGTAATCAAAACAGATGCTTGGCAACTGGTATATATTTACAAAGGTTGCATCGTCCTGGGGTCATGCGATTGCTATTTGCAACTTTCCCACTAGGCTTTTGACAAAATTAATGGGGGAAGCTGGATTTACTTAATGACTGCAGAATTCACTTAACTGCATTGATTAACAACCATGGCAAAAAAGATTGTAAAATCTCAGGCATGACTCATTTAACAACCATCTTGCTCTGTAATGAAAATTCTTGGACCCAATTGTGCAGGCAATCACAACATAGGGTGATTTTAAGCCCTAGCATTTTATAGATCTAAATTCCAAACTCATGATCATTCTGACATTACTCTCAGGATCACTGAACCAACCTACCATATGGAATAGCAGGTTAGGTAAGAATGAAATTAGTAGCTCTAGGCATGTTTCTTCCTGTCCTTTTCGACCCCTAATGGAGGTGAAGAAAGGTAATTTGCCTCACTTTCAGAAGCCCTTGTTGAATTTAAATAACAATTGTCTTTACTATATGTCTGTTCTTGAAATTTGCTGATTATTCTCCCTCTTTTCAGATCATGCAACCTATTGAAACCTTGTCTGTATTTGAGGCTGCTCAGAATACAGTTTTAATGAATGGACTTTGTCTTGTCACTGAATCAACAGAAGATATCACTTCTGTGGCAGTTCCAGGTGCTTAATTTATGGGCAGCAAATGTTATAAATGTGGGTGGGGAGATTTGGCAAATGTTCACTTGTTTACCAGATTCTGATTGTGACAACCATGACTTGCGTGACTGAGAATCTCCATAGACATTTACCAGATTTAAAGTCTTGAGTTTCAAGTTGAAATTGGTTGTGTTTTTCATTTTAGCTTGCATAGATTATCTAAAAAGGTTCTCCAGAATCCCGGATTAGATTCTGCTAGAGTTTGCTAGCCTAATTTTATTTGGCCATAGGTGTGTACTACAAATGAATAACTGACTATTGTTCATATAATGGCTTGTCCTTGCAGAAACCTCATACTTCGGAACATTGTGATATACTTGACATTCTTTGAAGCATTGGCCTATTTTTTCCTGAGGCCATTATCTTGTACATGTTGGATTCAACAGTCTGGATGACCACTAAATGGCTGCAGAGAGGGAAATAGCATTCTAGAATCTGGTTATGTTTAATAGAACAAGTCTTTGAACTAGTCCGCATTATCAAATCCACACCTTGTAATGGTTTGCCGTATAGTTTGACATACAAATTGAATGAAATATAGTCTAGATAGCTAAAAAATTTCTGTGTTGTCCTGAAATTATAGCAGAAAGTATAATTCTGTATGGTTTTCCGGGAAAAAGCTCATTATAATGGATCCTTCCTGGTTAATTCTCAGATATCTCTATTGTATTAAGCATCTTTCTCAAAGCCAATGAAATCATTAGAGTTGACCGTGTGACCTCATTTAGATATAACAGGAAACCACTGTTTTCCCACAATGTTACCGAACCTCGGCCAGCCTTGAGTTTCTATATTTTTTTCCTGTCCTATTTTTGGTCTACCAATTAAAAACATTAGGAACATCTATTTTTAAGATAAACTTACGATATTAACAAAGAATGATTTCCTTAGTTGATATAGGGAGCTGAAGTTAATTATAAATATTAGTTGAAAATAGGAAGCAAATGATCCTTTCAGAGTATTAAAATAAGAGAAATGACACGGAGGAAACAGAAATAAAGCTGAGATACCACCTGAAATCTTCATGAGATTAGTGTACAAATATAATGCATTTGTTTCTTTAGCAACTATTTAAAATTAATTTCTCTTATGTTTTCTACATGGGAATATTGCAATTCAGATTTTGAGAGAATGGATTCAGGCTTACAACTGTATGATTCACTTAACTGTCATAAAACAGTTATAAAATTGGATCTGGACCATTATGACTTATGACCAAAATTCCAGTCCCAATAGTAGTCATAACTCAAGGACTACTTGTATATGAATTCATCTTAGTACCGTATTTTCCGGCGTATAAGACGACTGGGCGTATAAGACGACCCCCAACTTTTCCAGTTAAAATATAGAGTTTGAGCGAGGGGGGGGGGAGAGAAAACTTGATGAGTAATATGCCAAACCACATGTGTAAAGGAATAAAATAGAATGCCCGTATTTTCCGGCGTATAAGATGACTGGGCGTATAAGACGACCCCCGACTTTTGAGAAGATTTTCAGTGTTTAGAAAGTCGTTTTATACGCCGGAAAATACGGTAAGCCAAATGACAGGATTAGATTTTATTAAAAAATCTGTTTTCATTTTAGTTTTAAGACTGGTATAAATCAATTTGAATCACAGATAATGTGTTCCTTTCTGTGACTGAAATGCTGTGCCTTTTTTCAGTGAATTTTTATAAAGACATACATTCATCACATAATTTTGTGTTATTAATGGCCATTTTTTTTTGCTGTTCTTGCAGAGACCAAGGAATTCCAGCACGCTAAATTAACCCTAGAGGTATCAGACCGGATGTATTGCTCTGTTTGTTCAAAGGCTTTTGAGAATCGAGATGAACAGGTAGGCATTATTGCAAGTATTTTCTGTATGAGCAGGGCAGTCTCTTTTACTTCAGCTGAAATCTGGGAATTTTAAATCATTCAGATCATTGCAAAGATAGGCTATGTATTGATGGGAATTGTTTCTATATATAAAGTCATAAAGGCATTTCCGGTTCATTAAGAGTTTTTGCCTATCCGTCACAAGAAATTTAGTTCAATCTTTTGAACTACTTAATTATTTCTATACAGAAGGATCATTATCGGCTAGATTGGCATCGCTTCAACCTAAAACAGCGATTGTTGGGACGTCAGATGCTCACAGCTGAAGAATTTGAAGCGAAGACTCAAGCAGGTGAAGAAAAATAGACAATTAGAGTCATTATTGCTTGAGGATTCTGTTAGTTATTATGATTTCAATCAACTATCTTCTGGCCTAGCAGAAAGATTCTAATAATCCAGGTGGGAAATCATTAACAGATTAATGAAAGTGAATCCTTGGAATCGCCAATTATGTATTTTATTATTTTTTTATCCTACCTTTATTAGTTTATAAGTAACTCAAGGCAGCATACATATATAATACTCCTTCCTTCTCTTGTTTTCCCCACAACAATTCTGTGAGATGGGTTGGGATGAGTGACTGGCACAAAGTCACCCAGCTGGCTTTCATGCCTAAGGTGGGACTAGAACTCTCCTGGTTTCTAGCTGAGTGACTTCACCACTAGACCACTGTGTACAAATTGTTAAACACTATACCGGGGTAGGCAACCTTGGCTCTTTTATGACTCATGGACTTCAACTCCCAGAATTCCTGAGCCAGCATGGCTCAGCTTGGAAACTCTCCCTTTCCCCTCACCATGGGTGGCTCAGGAATTCTGGGAGTTGAAGTCCATGAGTCATAAAAGAGCCGAGGTTGCCTACCCCTGCACTATACCAATTATCATGATCAGAAACTATATTTCAATAGATGTAGACTAAAAATAGCACTTATCTTTTTTGCCGCCCTATTCTATTCAATTTGATTATCTAATATTCTATATCATTATAGTGTTTGAATCCTTTTTATTTGATTTTAGTGAAATTTCTGCTGAGATAATATATAGGGATGTTTAATGCTTTAGATCAAAAAGTCATTTTTACCCATCTAAAATCTTTAGAAGGAAAACTTAAAGCATCAAAGCATCAAAGCATCAATTTGGAGTAATTCTTTAGCAGAAGCTCTTTGGATTTTGGAGAGAGCAAAAACAAAAAACTTCCAATGATGATATTTCTAGCTTGGTTATCTCCCCCCCCCCCCCATTGCCTTGTATGCAGATGACGTTTCCAGTATCTCTGGTTCTGATTCCAGTGACTGTGAGTCAAATAGTGAATCTGAATCACAATCTTGTCTGAACGGTGAAAGAAAAGGAACCGGCTACTGCAATCCACGCTCTCAGCACGTATTGTTCAGAAACTCTGAAGCCCAACTCATTTCAGTCTTTCGCTGTGTACTGCTAAACACTACAAAGGTATGTCAGAAAACACTATGGCTAAGAGCCTACTCGGTCTTGCTCTGGCTTCTTCCTCTTTTAATCACTAGTTGCCCATTAGCAAATGAAGCATGTAGCTTTTCAGCTGTAAAACACAAAAGGACACACGTTGGACGTCCCGTCCAGGTTTTAAGAAGTACAGTGTGTGCGGCAGTATCATTAACTGTGGTTGTTTTTTTTTCACCTAGTTTTCTGTTTTCATAGGCTACAACAGTGATGGCGAACCTTTTAGAGACCCAGTGCCCAAACCGCAACCCAAAACCCACTTATTTATCACCGGGTGCCGGGTGGGCGTGGCCACGGTGGTCATGTCAGACTGGGTGTGTGGGGGCAGGGTGGTGGGGGCCAGTCCCTCGCTATCTGCGGCGCAAGGCACGCGTGCCCACAGAGGGCTCTGAGTGCCACCTCTGGCACGCGTGCCATAGGTTCGCCACCACTGGGCTACAACCTCCCTTCCGAGCATTTTAAGTCTCTGACTAATATTATCTATCTGAAGTTGCTCTTAAATTTCGATTCTTGTGGCTAATACGTTAGAATACAGGTATTCCTCATTCAGCAAGCACGGTTAGGATTGGCAGCTTGATCATTAAGCAAAGTGGTTGCTCAGTGAAAACGTAACTTCATCTTTCCTTTGCTTTACAGACCTGTAAAAGTCATAAATGTAATGATTAAAGTTACTTTTTCATCACTGATGTAACTGAACGGTTGGTAAACAAAGGCAGTTGCTAAATGACGATTACCAGTATCTCTTTTCAATTGCTCTAGACCAGGGGTAGGCAACCTTGGCTCTTTTATGACTCGTGGACTTCAGCTCCCAGAATTCCTGAGCCAGGATGGCTCAGCTTGGAAACCTCTCCCTTTCCCCTCAGCATGGCTGGCTCAGGAATTCTGGGAGTTGAAGTCCACGAGTCATAAAAGAGCCAAGGTTGCCTACCCCTGGTCTACTCTTTTGGTTGTGATTTTTCTCTGCCAGCTTATTTCTGACAGGGCTGTTTATGAACTAAAAACATGTTTTGTTTTAAGCTTGGAACCAAATGGTCCTTTCAAAACCATTATGTTGGCTATGTTTCAACAAAGCAATATTTGAATAGGTTGAATGTCCCATGTTTTCCCACTTTGCAATTTTCCCTCACTGAAATGATTTCTCCCTGCTCACAGTTACAGTTTCCTATGAGAGATTTTTTTTTTTCCCCCCCTGTGTGGTGAATGGTTGCAGTTTTCCAACTTCCCATGTTCTTCTGTGGAAAAGAACATCTTTTTGGGATTCACTATTTTTTTAATTTTTTTTGTATTTATGCTGCTTGGAAATGCAGAATTTCCCTATCGTACATAAAAACCTTAACATTCTCTGCAGACCAAGAATATCCTAAAGATCCCTAAAGAACAGCCAGTTTGCGAGTGTTTGTGTGTGTTTTGCTCAGTTTGTAGCCTTTCACTAACTGAAGAGATTGCTGTATCTCCAGGGCAGTTTGGAAGAGACTGGAGACCTAGTGACTTCCCTTCAGAGGCAGAACCCCAGAACCTCCTGGGTTATCCTGATGGCTGGTGGAGGTCACTTTGCTGGAGCTGTTTTTCAGGGGTAAGAAATGGAGGGTCTAGCTCAGTGATGGCGAACCTTTTAGAGACTGAGTGCCCAAAAACTGGCCCCGTCCCAGCTCCACCCCCTGCCCCGCCCCCACCCCTCCAGGGCCCGCCGATCATCCAGGCAGCCCAGCAGCGCCATGGTGGCCACACCCTCTGCCTGCGCCCCGCAGCATCAACTGTGCGCGATGGAGTGTGAGGGTAGTGTCTTGTCTACGCTGCCTGGCTGCCATGTCCTTGGCTGTGCTGCTCCGCGTGGGCCACGCTCGGGGGCGACTCTCCTCCAGGGGAGCTGCTGGTGAGGGGGTCACGGGGGAGGCAAGACTGGGGCAACGGCACGTGTGCCCACAGAGAGGGCTCCGAGTGCCACCTCTGGCACCTGTGCCATAGGTTCGCCACCACTGGTCTAGCTGTCTTCTCTGTACTGTAAATCGGATCTGTTAGAAGGCTGAAGGACACTATGCCCTTGCTCATGCCTAACACTAAACCATTCTTGGTTTAATTTTCACTCAGGTTGTTTGGCTTGTTCTATAAATCATGTACTGTTTATTCAGGGATGGTTGGGTGGATGGAGATAAGATGATAAATAGACAGACAGACAGACAGACAGATCTGTACTGCATGTGGACATATGGACACTGGCTTAGCTTTTTCTGAAGCAAGAAGAATGATAAAAAGAAAGGAAATTCCTCGGGTAAGCAACAAATATGAAAATTCTCCCTGGATGGAAGAATCCTTCTCCCCCCTCAAATTCTTGGTTATCACTCTTACAACATTTCTCCTGGGGGTTCAACCAATGAAAATGAAAGAAACCCAGTTTCACTTCTTGTGGCCCAGGATTTCAGAAGTAATTTAAAAAATTTGATCAGATAATAAGGGAAGGCTACGTAATTAGTTTGAATTAGGGACTATAGATATTCTTTTTCTTTTAAATGCAACATTTTGTAGCAAAAAAAAACCCCTCTAAAAGTTGCTTTGCATGTATGCATGCATCCTCATATATACAGCAACACTTGAGTTACAATTCATTCCTTTTTTGCTTAGACCCAATAATTGGAATTAACTATATGGTATCTATTTCCTTCAGGCAAATATTACAGTGTTTGTACAGGTTAGCAGAGAGGGATGAAAGTATTAAAAGAAGACAGAATCTACTAAGTTTCTGTAACAGGGGAGCTGCCACTGTGCCTCTTGTCAAGATGCCTTTCCTTTCATTGCAGGCTGTCTCTGATAAAATGTGGGGAAATAGCATAAGCTTCCAGGCTAGCATTGATGTGGATGTCATGGCAATTCACATAAGGGAGAGAATTGATGGAAGAGGGGATGGTAAACACTTGTATATTTTACACATTTGTGTAGCAAAGGAAGATATCCCATTATCTGTCTATCTGAGAACTAGAACCTGAATTCATTTCATTGTGTAGTTTCTTAATGGTACCAAGTGTTTACTTCTGCTGAAGGCTTATATTCTCTTTGTTCTCAGGAATGAGATATTGGCACACAAAACTTTCCATCGATACACTGTGCGAGCTCGACGAGGTACAGCCCAAGGAGTGAGGGATGGTCAGGGGACAATGCCAAAATCTGTTGGTGCCTCATTACGGCGTTACAATGAGGCTGCTCTCCTTAAAGTAAGTCTGCAACTAAGAGGAAACCTGCAAAGTGAAAGCTTTCAAAAGGTCTTGGATCCTTCCTGTGGCCCTATTTCAGAGTGAATTGTCTTCATGGAGGAAAAAAAATAATTTTGTGGGCCAGTCTAGATTCTTCTTGCGCATAGCAAAATAATGGAATATAAAGAAAGATGGATTGTTACAGCTTGGTTATATGGATTCATCTTTTTGCAGTTTCTGCATATTAGTATGCTTTTTGCCAGAACACTTGAACTGTGTCTACATTCCTGTCAGCCTTTCAAGATAGTCCAGGCAAGAAGCACAAATCATCATTACTAACTTTATTGTGAGCTTACAGTAACAGAATCCTGCCAGGTCTGAAAGTACTTTCCTCCCCTCCTTTACTTTAACTTACTAGAAAATGAGAGAGGTTCCCTCCTGAGACACTTCCCACACCCCTTTTCCTTCTGTGGGCTGTGATACCTCTTGCGTAATAGTTATCTAGGCCAGGGCTTTTCAACCTTTTCACCCATTGTACCACTTTTAGGATATGGCAGTATCCGAGTACCACCAGTCGCCTAGCAAGGTGTCAAAAAATGACCCCCCCCAAAGGAAAAAAGTGATAAAGTACAGATTGTCCTCGACTTACAACAGTTCGCTTAGTGACTGTTTGAAGTTACAATGGCACTGAAAAAAGTACCCCCCAAGCCACAGCCGAGCAAGACACCTGCCTGCCCACCCGGCGGCGCTCTTCCTCCTGTCCGAGGTTTTCATTGTGAGCATTTCTGTTGAGGATTGGCAGCGGGGGTGGGGTGGGGGGTGTTTGGTTTTTATTCCCCCCATCTGCTGGGTGGTTGCAACAGGTTTTGGTCACTTCACATGACCCTGGGACACTGTGACCGTCATAAATATGAATCAGTTGCCAAGCATCTGAATGTAAATCACGAGACCCTGGAGATGCTGCAACATTCCAGCTGATTGGTGCTTCTTCAGGGCTCAGCAGAAGCACCAGGATCAGCGCCCAGCTCCAGCTGGAGCCTGGTGCTGATCCTGGCACTTCCACTGAGCCCTGACAGTCCCGAAGAAGCGCCGATCAGCTGGAAAGCTACACTGATCGTGGTGCTTCCACTGAGCCCTGACAGCCCTGCAGCTCCAGCTATCTGTTGCTCAGGCTTGTGCGGCGCTGCCACCGGTTCAGCTCATTCCCCTCCCCCGCTACCACTTTTCTAGGATGGTCGCGTACCACCTGCCAGGTGCCAATGTACCACAGGTGGTACCTGTACCACTGGTTGAAAAGCCTTGATCTAGGCTGTAGCTCTTCCTCCTGCTTACAAGATCATGGTCACAGACCATTACAATTCCCTCTCTGACATTAAAAAAAGGTTCTGTGGAAGAAGAAAGTCCCTGGAATCTCTTGAATCACATTTTGCGTCGAAGCTGCAAACCCTGCTGCTGCACTGGCTCACATCCATATTGAATATTGTGCGTGAGTTGTTTCCCCTTGTCCTTTTCTACAGGATATTCAGGAGCTGCTAACAAGCTGGACAAGTTATTTAAAAGAAGCAGAGTGCATCTTCCTTCGTGCTCCGCACAATAACCAAGCTCCCTTCTTCAGCAGCAAGCTTGGCCCTCTCCAGCGAGGGGACCCGCGTATTCGGCGTATTCCTTTCAGCACCCGAAGAGCCACCTTCCGTGAGGTGGGACGGGTCCATGGGACTTTAAGCAGCCTGCTGGTATATGGTGAGCTGTCATTTAATTTTTCTCCGTTGTTGGCTTGGCTTTTAGCCCTTAAAAGATCATTTTTTTGGTCTGTAATGCATCAAATCATTAAACTTTCTCTAGATTGATTTCTTTCTTTATTCCCTTCAGCCCCACCCAAAGACTTGTAATTGTACCCTAAAAGCTTTGCAAGTAGTTTTCTTAGTCTTATCTTAGCACATTGGTGTTCTGTCCTAACCCATTCTGTGTTTTGCTCTTGTATGTTTTCCATTCTATTACAGAAATTTAGCCCAAGACTATGCCACTGAGCTGCTGTTGGAAGTGTAATCTCAAATTGAGCATTTCAAGGGGAAAGAAACAAGTAAATTAAAATTACATTCTGATTTTTTAAATAGGAAATAATACAACAGTGGCAGATCTGACGAATTCTCCTCGGAAGACCTGGAAAAAAGTAGCTCATAAAGATGAAGCACCTACAGAGCCTTCTGGCACTAGTGAGTAGGACAGCCATTTTGAAGCTGAAGCAATACATTGTTATTCCTATTCTATCGCCTGTCCTGGCCAGTGTAGATTTCTTCTGCATCCTTTCTTTCTGACTTCTAGTTTACAGAATGAAAAGAGTATTACAGGTGTTGAAGTTAACAATATGCAGGGGATTTTTTCCTGGAATGGTTGGTAGCTTAATGAGAAGCCCTTGAAGGAAAATGTTTCAGACAGCATGGAGTTTACTAATGTATAGGGCATTGGTGGCGAACCTATGGCACGCGTGCCAGAGACGGCACTCAGAGCCCTCTCTATGGGCACACGTGCCGTTGCCCCAGCCTTGCCTCCACCCGTGACCCCCTCACCAGCAGCCTCCCTGGAGGAGAGTCGCCCCTGAGCGTGACCCACATGGACCAGCGCAGCCAAGGACATGGCAGCCAGGCAGCGTAGACAAGACTCTGCCCTCACACCCCATCATGCAGGGCATGGGCAGAAGGCGTGGCCGCCATGGCGCTGCTGGGCTGCCTGGGCGATCTGCGGCGGGCCCTGGAGGCGGTGAGTGGCCCTGTGGGCAGGCAGGGTGGGGCGGAGTGGGGGCGGGGCATGGGGTGGAGTGGGGGCAGGGCCAGTTTTTGGGCACTCAGTCTCTAAAAGGTTCGCCATCACTGGTATAGGGTGTGATCATAGCAGACTTTAATAATGGCTGATGGCATACAGGTGGATAGTTAAAACAACGAATGGAGCCAGTTCTTTCTCTTTCCCCTCTCCCCATTCTCATCGGGAAATGAGAAGATTGAGCTGTGCTTTTTTTTAAACAGTCTCTGCAGCAAGGACAGAGGAGGAAGAAGAAGTGGGGGAAGAAAATCTGGAACTGGTGGAGGAGACAGTAAATTTATTGGATTTACGTGAATTTGAGGTGACGCCAAAACAGAATCGTAAAAAGAGGAGGAGGAAACCCAAGACACTGCCAAGTAAGTGATTGAAATAGTGAGCCTGCTTTTAGCAAACCTGTTAGGTTTATTTCTTTGTGGAATGATCTTCCAAGGATTGCAAGCAGGACTATAGAACTAGATCAGGGATGTCAAACTCAATTTCATTGAGGGCTGCATCAGCATTGCGGTTGCCCTCGGGGGGGGAGTGGGGGGGCGGCCTACTGGGTGGGCGTGGATGGAGTGGGTGTGGCCTACTGGGTGGGTGTGGCCAGCTCTACATTCACATCAAGGGTGCCTGTGGGGGCCTGGGCAGGAGTGGGGCAGATCTGAGGGTCTCTGGCAGAAGGGGGTGGGACCAGGGCAGAGCCCATCAAACCGGATATGTAAAGTAGGCGAGGGCCATTTGCTGGCCACTTCCAGGCAATGGTGCATTTCTTCATTCCTCACAAAGGGTGACACCTCCCCAGCATGCACCCAGGGGGTGGGGCCGACGCGGCAGGGGCTGTTTCCAGACGGCCTTGTGGAGCTAAGACTGAATGTGTTTCAGCATAGATGGCTACCACAAAATTGTACATTGGCTCCCGGCCAGCCTGGGCCAGGGCCAAGGCAGCAGAGGCCGTTTCCTCACTGTTTCCAGGATGGCTTCGCGGGCCACATGAAACCACTTCGTGGGCCGCATCCGGCCCCCGGGCCTTGTGTTTGACATGTCTGAAGTAGATTGACTTTTTGGCAGCTCCTTCTTTTCATAGTCTTGCATACTGAGACAAGGAGCCAATGAACTAGGTTCTGGGCAAAGAGTCTGCTAAGAGGTTGGTGGTATCTTGAAACATCATCTGAGTCTTCTGGAGTAGAAGATACTCTGTGACTTTCAGATGTTGCTGAGCTGCAATTCTTGATTTCCCCAGCCAGTATGGCTAGTGATGAGGAAAGTTAGAATTTAGCAGGTATAACTAAATCCCAGGTATAACCTCATGTTTTAAAATCCTACTGGTGCTAAAATATTAGGCAAGGATTTAAGAGGACTGATTAAAATCAGGGAATCTTCTACTATGTGTTCTGAAACAGAGTCTAACATGGAGACTTCAGGAAGTGTTGAACCCAATACGTCAGTATGTAGAGGACTAGAGTCAGCTGAGGTCCAAGAACAGCAAGAGTCTCAAGGTACGTTTGGGAGCACGTGTGGGATAACATGTACATTATATAGTCTTCCAACTGGCCATCTTGGCCTTTATTCTAGACTATGATCCTGTGCTGGCAGGTTGGATTTGCAGCTAGATGCTTTTGGATGTGGGGTGGGGGTAGTTTTTTGTATGTTGTTTTGTACTGATGTTTTTGTGTTAGCTGCTTGGAAGCACTTTTTATGTGATGGGCAGCTATATAAACCCCAATCTTCCAAATAATAATCTCAGATGTATCTGAAAGCCTTTCTCTTCCTCCCAGATGCTCCCAGCACAACTGTGCAAGATGCCTTATTCACAGCATGCAAAATGGGAGACATGGGAGCCCTACAGCATCTTCTGGGAACGGCTGATAACACAACCGATAACAGTGAGCACAGCGATAGAGTCACAAAACAGTTGCTCAACGCACCCCTGGATGAGAGTGGCTGGACTGTTTTGCACGTGGCAGCAGCAGCAGGAAGAGCTGCAGTTGTGCGGCTCTTGTTGGAGAGTGGGGCTGACCCTGCCATCAGGTAATGTCCATCAAGTGAGGGATACATTGAGGCCTGAGTTAGCCACCGTCTTAAACTGTATTTAGTCTCTACATGGGGTCTGACTTGCAAACCTAGCAATAAGCAGTTGAAATAAGCAACAATAAGTTCTTCTGCCGCATCTCTGCCAGTGTCTTAGTTTCTCTTCCAGTCGCTATGGGGTCCAGGACTTTCATAAATATAAGGAATTAATATTTTACAACAGCCAAGGTATTCAAAATTGTTTTGACATATTTACATGGAAGTTTTAAGTCTTCTGAGTAGCAGACTAGAAGAGAGTTGTTCTATTTCATAGCTGGAAAGGTTTTCGCGTCTCTTTGTCTCAGCAATGATTATCCTGAAGGGACTCCTTTTTGTAAGGGTTCTATGACATTTGTTTGATAAAGCGCCACTATTTTATACTCCAGGGACAGCAAAGAACAGCCGCCCTACTGTGTGTCTACCAATAAGCAAACCCGTAATGAATTCCGTAGATTCATGGGTGAACATCCAGAGAGATACGACTACACCCAGGCTCAGGTGAGTGGAAGCAAGGTCTAGACCAACTTAGTCGGGGAGGAATGATGGGAGTTGACATCCATCAGCTAAAGGGCCACCCATTATTTGCCCATTAATGAAGGTCATCTTTAGGTATGGAGAACTTTAAACGTTTGCTTCAGTTGCCCAATCTAGATTTTTGTCTAAGAAGCATTCATAAGGTGATGGGGAGGAAAGCCTTGCGCAGGATATAAAGAAGATTAATGTCCTCTTTAGGACCATCTCTCTCTCCCTCCCTCTCTCTCTCTCTCCCTCTCTCTCTCTCTCTTTGCTATTGGGATCTCCTCCTGTTCTACTTGATTCACACATGCAGTCTAACCACAGGTGCCTGGCCCTCTAACTGCAGAAATGGAAGCCAAACAGGCAGAACGCCGACGAGCACAGAAAGCCCTACGGAAGCAGCGAGAACGAGAAGAACGTGAAGCACAATTACTTCTTGAGCAAGAACAGGAAGAGAAAAGACGGTTTGCCCTGCTCAGTGATCGTGAGAAGGTCAGGGGCTTAAAGTGGCTTTAAAAGGGATAGCATTTCTCGTTCTGCTGCAATATAGCAATAGCACCTAGACTTATATACTCTACAGCACGCTCTAAGCCAGGCATGTCAAACTCGCGACGTTACGTGACGTATCGGGACTTTTCCCCCATTACCGGCAATGGGGTGGGTGCAGTTTTGGCATGACACATCCGGCCCGTGGGCCGGCAGTTTGACATGCCTGCTCTAAGCAGTTTACAGGGTCAGCATATTGCCCCCAGCAGTTTGTTACACCCATGTAACACTGCTACTCTGTAAGTTATTTTGGCTTCCAATAAGATTCAATAGGATTTGAGGTTCTGCTTATCACCTATGAAGCTCTACATGGCCTAATAGTAGTAAACTTGCAGGACTACCTTCTCCAAAGAACATCTGCCCATCCCACATACTCCCATAGAGAGAGAGCATGCCCCAGGTTCCCTCTTTTAAATTTTGCCACCTTATGGAAACTAATACTGTAAGCGTCCCTTTTGGATGGCTGCCTCTGTGCTCTGAAACAATTCCCCCACCTGCTCAAACAACAGGCCCTGGGATGAGGCTTTTTCCATGGACAAAGTTAAGTTTTGATTGTTTTTTTTTATATTGTGCTTAGTTGCCATTTTATATTTATAAATTGTGTTTGTTAGCATTATATGGTTCTTTTAGTTTATTTTTTTTATGTTTTATGTTGCTTAGAGTCACATTATGTTGGGTGGCCTTATAAATCCAGTAGGTTCTAATAGATTAGAGATGTAGGAAATTCTTTTATAGTTTGACATAATGTCCAAATTTTTCAATCAACCTTTTGAGACTGTTTATGCATTGAACTTCATACAGAAATATGACCTTTGGCGATGGTTCCTAATTGTTTGTTTTCACTTTAGCGTGCTCTGATGGCTGAGAGGAGATTTGCTTCCCAATTAAAAGACTCTGGTGCATCTTTGACCAACACCAGGTATTTTGGGAGAATGGGGACTTCCTGAGAACTATTCTTTTGTGTAAAAAAAACAACAACACATGATTTTTCATCTTTTCTGTCCACAGACGCTGCTGGTTTTGTGGGGAATCTCTGCTGGGTTGCATTCCTTTCCATTACCTCGATTTCTCCTTCTGCTCCACAAATTGTCTTCAAGCCCATCGACGAGGGAAAACTGCCCCATCCTAGCTGGAGGTTTTGCTTTGGCATCAAGGGACTGTGCTACAATAGAAATCCCAGGACTGTTGTCGCTTTAGAATGATGAGAGATTAAGCACAGCAGGGAAGTCACAAGTAATTATCTCCAAGTACTTCACAGGAGACTAATATGGACCGCTGTTATTTGAGAAATGAACTTTTTTTTGTAAGAATGTAGGCTTTTCAATTTGAAACTAGATTTAGGAATTGGTTAAAAAGAGCAGCCTCTCTCCCCAGATATGTTGGACCGGCCCCACTGGAATTCACTGCTGACTGGGAGTTCTGTAGGTTAAGAATTGTAATACATATTTGCTGTGCAGGTTAAAGACGACTATTTTAGGGAGTAACTGAACAAACATCATAGATAACAAAAATGGAAGAATCCTGGAGCGCTTTTTTTTTTTACCTAATGCTATTTGATTATCTCTTAGCTAGTACTTTCATAAGCAGCAATAGATGTCTTAAGAATCAAGATAAACCCATGATCTATTTAATATAAAGCACAAAGAACTTTACATCTGTTCCTATGTTTAAATGTGCCTTATCCCCAAGTATGTCTTGTGCTTACCTGATTCATCCTACTTTCACTGAACTTTGGCAGCTTCCAATTTCAACTCTCTCTTTGATACTGGAATGCCAAGAATGGATTACAGTGCTATGCCAGGTGCCTGCATTTTTAATTTGGTGACGAGCATTATCCACCCTGAGCACTTATACAGCGTCAACTTCAATTAATATTGAAAGACTTGATCTCCAGATAACTGTAGTTTACTTGGCTTGTTCATTACAACTTAAGCTACAGTCCGATACTTTATTCATTTGATTCTTACAAGACAGTGATTTCAATATATTTCTTTTGCCACGGGTCTCAGCAGTGTCATAATTGGATAGTATTTCCAGCTACTTCATGTCCTTTTGAAAGAAGCTAGAAGTGTCATTGAGAACGGGACGGTCAAGAAAAAGTACCTTTGGGTTTGATGGTGCATTCTGCAATTCCAGCACTACAATAGTGTTGAGAACTGAGGTATTGAGGAGAAAGCCAGGCACAAAGAGGGTTTGCTGGGGTCCACGAACTGGCCAGAAACGGCCCAGGTTAAAACCATTGATCCAGATCTGGCCCTAGTTAAAAACATAAAAGTGATTTTTATAAAATAGTACTTCCATCTTTATTTGGGCACCGCAAGAGACTACAGCAGTGTTTCTCAACCTTGACAATTTTAAGGCATGTGGACTTCAACTCCCAGAATTCCACAGCCAGCAATGCTGGCTGTGGAATTCTGGGAGTTGAAGTCCACATGCCTTAAAATTGTCACGGTTGAGAAACACTGGACTACAGCATTGATTTCATAATCTATCCAAAGCCAGAAAGATCACCTATGGCAAGGGAAAGTTCAGAAGGCTTAGCAGTTAATTCTGTAAATGTGCGGATTACAACTCTATATATAACAATAGGAAGACATAAATTTAGATGGTAAATAGCGATTATTCTTATTCATGTAATTATCATGTAATTTGAAATACTGAATGCATTTTATAAAAGTGTGTAGGGGCAACCAGCAAACACATTAATCTACACCAGAGTTCCCCAACCTTTCTGGCTTTGTGGACTGGCCGGTGGGGAGTGGGGGGGGAGAGGGAATGGTTCCACACCCGCACAAATGGAGTGTGCACACGTTCACCCGCTGCTTGCGCACGCCCACTTGCTACTTCTGCAGCCTGGTTCCAAACAGCTCAAGGCCCAGTAGTGGGGAGCGGTCAGGGGGGATGGGGACCTCTCTTCTACACAGTGCTAAAACCAGTAAATCTTTATGTTATTAACCCTAACCCCAGCATGGTTCTATAAAGTAACTCTTGTTAGTTGCAAAGTCTTGTCCGACCCATCGCGGCCCCATGGACAACGTTCCTCCAGGCCTTCCTGTCCTCTACCATCTTCTGGAGTCCATTTAAGCTCACGCCTACTGCTTCAGTGACTCCACCCAGCCACCTCATTCTCTGTCGTCCCCTTCTTCTATTGCCCTCCATCTTTCCCAGCATTGGGCCCTTCTCCAGTGAGTCCTTCCTTCTCATTAGGTGGCCAAAGTACTTGAGTTTCAGCTTCAGGATCTGGCCTTCTAAAGAGCAGTCAGGGCTGATCTCCTCTAGGACTGACCAGTTTGATCGTCTTGCAGTCCAGGGGACTCGCAGGAGTCTTCTCCAGCACCATAGTTCAAAGGCCTCAATTCTTTGTCGCTCAGCCTTTCTTATGGTCCAACTTTCACAGCCATGCATTGCAACTGGGAAAACCAGGGCCTTGACTATACGTACTTTTGTTGGCAGGGTGATGTCTCTGCTTTTTAGTATGCTGTCTAGATTTGCTCCCCAGGAGCAAGCGTCTTTTAAAGTAACTCTATTTAGCGGTTTAAATGACATAAGACATTTTTTGGCACCATGTGACGTTTTGTCTTTCCTGTTCCGTATTTTGACCTTCATGGCCACTTAATTTTGATAATCTTAAAATGGCGAAAAAAGGCAAACTTTTTACTTACAAACTAATTCTTGAACTGCCTGTAATTATACAGTGCTTAATGGGTAAGTGTAGTAAAAAAGCTACCGCTAGCAATCTGGATCATTGACGCTCCATTGCCAAAACAATGAGATGAAGCAAAGAAATCCCCTGGTTGCCCAATGGGAGACAAAATTGTGTTCAGGATTGCTATACCTTGCTCCACCCTGGAAACTTCACATAGGTGTCATAGTTGATACCAGGTGTTTTGAAGACCCCAGTATAGAAAGCAGGTCCTGCTGTGTTATTGCTTCGTGGGACATATGGAGGCCATTCTTGGGCCACAGCTGAGTCAATATCCAGTGGATAGATGAGCCAGTCACTTAGAACAATGGAACCCAAAGTAACATTGTGAGTCAGGCCCTGGGCAAAGAAAAGAAAAGAAAAGTACACTAAGATGTGAAAAGAATAGCATACACCTGGCTTTTAATCTGTAGTCCAGTGGTTCTCAACCTTTTTAATGCCGCGACCCCAACCGGTCGTAAGTCGAGGACTAAACCGGTCGTAAGTCGAGGACTAAACCGGTCGTAAGTCGGGACTAAACCGGTCGTAAGTCGGGGACTAAACCGGTCGTAAGTCGAGGACTACCCAACCAGTCCTAAGTCGAGGTCTTTCCCTGCCCGGGAGCGCCGCACATGCGTGGTTCCGCCCCCTGCGCCGGCCGAGGCGTAGCTGGCAAGCGGCAAAGACGGAGCAGGCCGACCACCAGCTAGCCCAGCCCAAGGGAAGTAAGGCACCCGCCGGAAAAGGGGAAAAAATGGCGGACAAAAAAAATGGCGGACAGCCTTGCTTGGCGACCCCCGTGAAATGGTCGATCGACCCCAAATGGGGTCCCGACCCACAGGTTGAGAACCACTGCTGTAGTCCTCTTGTGAGAAAAGGGTTGGGTGGGTCCTGCTGATAGGCAAAACTATCAGCTATTATCTGTAAGGAGCTGGTCATTTTTCCTGCAACAGGATTATTTAGGTTTTTTTTTCCTCCCTTAAAGCTGAAATAAAACTATTCAAGCAACTAATAAAAGTTACATCAGAACTTGCAATAATTAAAAATGAGTTCATCATACTTCTGTTTTACAGCTCATTTTCACAAAGAGTGCCTAATATTCCAAGTCCCCCCAAAAGTCCCCAATTCTTTCAAATGACTTTAGTTGCTGCTTATTACCTAGAACAGTGGTGGCGAACCTATGGCACAGGTGCCAGAGGTGGCACTCAGAGCCCTCTCTGTGGGCACGCGCGCCGTCGCCCCAGTCCTAGGCCTTCAGCTGGGTTTTATAAAACCTTTTCGCTTTAGGCCTCCGCCGCCATATGCAAAAAAAAGGTGCAATCAATCAGTCAATTTCAACTTCTCGCGGGGAAAAAAAAGATCTTGCAAAGTTGGAATTGATTGATTGAACTTTTTAGTCCCACCCAGTCTGCTGTTACCACCACAGCCACGCCCACCCAATGGGCCACGCCCACCCAATGGGCCACACCCACCCAATGGGCCACACCCATCTGGCACCCGACGATGCATAAGTGGGTTTTGGGTTGCAGTTTGGGCACTCGATCTCTAAAAGGTTCGCCATCACTGATCTAGAAACTGCTTACTGTTCTGGAAAATACTTAACTTTGAAGTGTGATAATGTAGCTGTCTAGAGTCCATCCCAATCCAATGTACCTCTATGAGTAAAAGTGTAAGCACTACTCTTTCACCAGCAGTGCTCTCTTGCAGTACCTTAAAGTCACTGTTATTTGCTCCAAAATTGATATGACCCATGCTCTCCACCAGCAAGTCCAATGAATCTCCTAGCTGGCCAGTTATATTGATGGCGTTCACTCTGTCTCGTTCCAGTGTCCCTTTATATTCCTCAAGGGAGAAGGAATAAAGGATTAACAATTGAATAGCACTTGCAGAACTGAAGCAAAACCCCCATATCACTCAGCAGCCTCAAGCAATCACTATGGGAACCAGGGACATTTTTCCCCTGGCAGTTAAACGCCTGTACCATACAAATGTCTCCACTTTCCAGCTTACTCCATTAAGTAAAACGTAGGCAAGGTCATGGGTCCCATTTTCAAGGACAGAGAGAAAAACAGGCTGTAGGATGTCATCTGGAAGAACAGTACGGTACAACATAAAGCCATGGGTCTGAAATATAAAATGAAAACTAATGCAAATGTGGACTGCAATCCAAATGCTAAATAGACAAGATCAAAAGAGAATTTTTTTTTTAAAGCCCCTCTTGAGTTTTCTTGAATTTTCTAGCGGAACTATTCTTAGCTTCCCTTTTTGATGTCACAGAATCTTGTTTCACTTCTTACCTGCTTCAGAGCCTCAAAAGTGAGGGGGAAGGAAGAATGGAATGGTAGGCCAGGGGAGAGAAGACTTAGAATATCCAAAAAGGCCACACACTGCAAGAAAAAAAACTGAAATTGTATTTATGCTATTTAAAAAGTAAGATACAAAAACGTATTTTCCCCAAATCATTTTCCATTAAAAATATCAGATATTATTACAAATTAAGCATACAGTGACATTAAAACAAGCAGAAAGATAACTATCTCATTTAAAAAACGCTTTAACATACGAACACAGCACTGTTTGAAAATGAGAACACCAGTTCTGCTGAATTCCTGATGTGGGCATGGAACACAACATCTCAACACTGGTGCCATCAATATCATCAGACATGTTTTATATAACAAGATCTCTTTTCTGTTCCAAAATCTGTTTCATTACCTTTGATTTCATCTTAGGAAATAACATGCAAGACTACAGGAATAGCTTATCCATTAGCCAATTTATGAGCATCTGAGGGAACATCCTCCAACTCTAACTTACCAGTGGTAAAGACACATAGCCATATGAAAATTTGGGAGTTGGGGGTGGTATTGGTCCTGCAGGCACAGGCTGAAACTGCAAGTTTAAAAAAGATGGCAAAAGAGAGTGACTGGAGGTCAAACATAACATCAAATTCAGCTGATGACTTCACATTCAGCAAACGAAGCACAGCAAGAATAAACCAAGTTACCTTGCCTTGATTTAGCTCCTATCAGAAAAAAAAAATCTTAAAAATTGGAAGTGGGAAGATAACTTTTTAAGCAATTCAGGGCAGATGGATAAAAATTGAGGATTAAATCTCTGGTTTCTGCTTCTTTGCTTATCTTCAAGCAGTGTTTCTCAACTTTGACGCAATTTTGACGCAAGGTTAATGCTGGCTATGGAATTCTGGGAGTTGAAGTTCACTGACCTTAAAATTACCGAGATTGAAAAATACTGTCTCAAAATTCACTAGCAGATTCTCAGATAATGCATTTTAAGGGAATAAATCCTATTTCTGACTTAAACACAAAGCTTCTCTTTTACTCATATACCATGATTGGTGCATCACACTAAGTTTGGTTCCTTTTGATTTAGTACAGTGAGTGATCCATTAACGAACAATAGCTGGGAAAAAATCCTAACAGATATGAATATAGCCTCTGAGCTGGTCTCATATTTACCTTCTCCTTACTTTAAGACTAGACTCAAACCTACTGGCCGTATAGGAAGAAGTAATCAAATAGACAGCAGAAGTACTGCTACATCTAAATCCCCAGTATTATCTATCACCAGCTACTGAAACATCACCACTCTTGTTCCAAAAAATAGTTGTACTATGCACACTCAGCTATAAGTGGAGGAGAATGAGAAAATAATTGCTGAAATAAAGATTGGTACATATAGTTCAGCGGTTCTCAACCTATGGGTCGCGACCCCATTTGGGGTCGATCGACCATTTCACGGGGGTCGCCAAGCAAGGCTGTCCGCCATTTTTTCCCCTTTTCTGGTGGGTGCCTTACCTCCCTTGGGCTGGGCCAGCTGGTGGTCGGCCTGCTCCGTCTCTGCCACTTGCCAGATACGCCTCGGCCGGCGCAGGGGGCGGAACCACGCATGCGCGCGCTCCCGGGCAGGGAAAGTCCTCGACTTACGACCGGTTGGGTAGTCCTCGACTTACGACCGGTTTAGTCCTCGACTTACGACCGGTTTAGTCCTCGACTTACGACCGGTTTAGTCCTCGACATACGACCGGTTGGGGGTCGCGGCATTAAAAAGGTTGAGAACCACTGATATAGTTTATTCACTGGGGATTGGGATGTGGAGAGCCCAAACACAATTCACCACCCGTTTACTTGATTACATTATTGAACCAGATTTGGATATATTATGACTGTCTGGAACCAAGTAATACCAAGCTCTTATCTCTTGCTTGTAAAACGTATTGCCAATAATTTACTCAAATGTGTGCAGATCAAATGTAAAATGTTAGGCTGATAGCCTACACTGGTTGTGACTGCGTATACGCAGCAGCAAAAGAGTAGATTATTAATAGAATAAATGGCTCCTTTCAATTAGTATAAAAAGCAGCATTGTCTCTCAACCTACTGCCAAGAGTGCTGAATCGTTACCTTGCCAATGACAGCTCGAATGGCATACAGCTTTTCTGTAGGGTCTCCAGCTTCTGAGAGAGGTGCATCATAGTCATAGCTAGTAGTGATAGGATAATACTTCTCTTTATAATCAGCACCTGAGTAGAGAAACCTATGAGAACAAAACAGGCTTCTGGATTTCTAATTCCCATATGCAACTAGGTACTTCCATTTTCCAGCCAGAAGCTAAGCCTCACAATGTCTGACTGAGGCAGCAACCCAAAGGACCCAGAAACTCACCACTCCAATAACCAAAGTTGGTGCCGCCCTGGAACATATACCTAGAAAAAGATCAGGCAGCAGAGTAAGAATTCACTTTCCATCCAAGCACTGAGACAATGCCTGGTAGGGGAAAAATGGGCAGGTGCTACAAAAGGAACAGAGAACAGTTTTGCAGTTGGATTTGCACGCTGGATAAACCATAATGTGGCTTGTCTGGTTTTTGCTTAGAATGCAGCCAGCCAGTCAGTCATGTAAAGTAAGATAAATGGAGAACCCAGGGTAGGTTCAAATATACTCCAGTCTCACATTACATTTTCATTCCACTGGAAATTTTTTATCAGCTATGGAAATCATTAAAGAAAAGATGTATGCCTGTGCGTGGACACACACACACACACACACATACACACCATCTGATATACCAGAATAGCCAGAGTAAGATGAAGTTAAGAGGCATGACTTGTATCTTAGACATATTTCGTTTCTTTTTATAATCAATCCTATGGCTTTTGTCCCCCTGCCACTCTCCCATATAGTCTCATGGTTACATGTTGATGTTGGCTCCCAATTCTAGGATCTTCTGTAGGCCCTGCGTCACAACTGTAGTACTTTTCGTGGAGTGTGGCTCACCCCAATAATCCAGCCAGCCTGTGTAATACTCAGAATTCACCTAGGGAAAAGCATAATTGAGACTTTTATGGAATAGTAGCAAAACTGCTTTCAACATCTGAAATGGTATATACATTTGGTTCCAACTCAAATGTTAAAATCTGAGAGTACAGGATAAATATGTCAGACCATAAAAATAGATTAGTTGATGCATTATGACATAGGGTCCAAGGACCCAAGTACTTCAATAATATCGAAGCTGTTCGTTATGATAGCTGTGGTGGCTCTGCTCATGATCTCATTTTTCTGTCCAAAAGTAAACCGTGCCCAATTAGGAAACATACTTCAAGGTGAATACCTCTGGCCACTATACTGTCTACTTTAAAGTGGTAATTTAATACACACTTGTATGGGTATCTGTAGAAAAACAATTATTGGAACTTTTTAAAATGAATTATTACTCATTTTATTTTTATTGTATTTATTTTATATTTTGTACATCATTCTGGCTTCCCTTGGAAAAATGAGTGAAATAAACATCTAATTCTGAAAGGTCTGACTAGTTATTCTATAATTAAGCTGTCAGAAATTTTTATAGCGAGAGATGAATCTTGAGATCTACAGATCTGGCATCACCTGAGACAGGCAAGTGAAACTCATAGCTCACTAGACACTATTGAAAACATAGGACTACAATTTATATACCTTTAGCACCAACTTACAAACCACAGAGGCAAATGAGGATTTAACCTACATGAATACTTTTGATTCCCTTTCCTTAGAAAACTCCTTGGAAGTTGCTAAGGAAAGGACAAAATAATCAAATGAGAGAAAATAAGTCAGCATATGAGGTGAAGAGAAATAGGTGCTCAGAAGAAATAAGCATTATAAAGCCAGGTTTTTTCCTTCGTAGATGGTAAGGCCAATTGCTCTCACCAGTGGCCCTCTTGGTTCAACCAGACGCTGCTGTTCAAATGCTCTTGTCTCATTTACTTCTGTCAAAGAACAAAAAACAGAGTAGAAATCAAAGGATAATTCCATTCCAGCTCCTATGAATTCTGTGCAGATCATTTAACCTTGCATTACCTGATCCAAAGTCCACAGTGGCATATAAATCTTGCAAGGTCCCACATCGCAGCTCGGATTCTTTGAGGCCATCAGTTGTGAAAAGCACAATTTCTTTGCCCAAATACAAGCGGAAAACAGCCAGGAGGTGACGCATATAGGCATAGTCACATGCGTAATAGCTTCCATATTCATTCTCCACCTGCCTAGAGAACAGTGGGGAATTAAAGGATGGTGACTTATGAGCCCCTCTAGTAGTAGTAGTAGTAGTAGTAGTAGTAGTAGTAGTAGTAGTAGTAGTAGTAGTAGTAGTAGTAGTAGTAGTAGTAGTAATAATAATAATAATAATAATAATAATAATAATAATAATAATAATAATATAAAAAAAAGTTGGAAGGGACCTTGGAGGTCATCGAGTCCAACCCCCTGCTCAGGCAGGAATCCTACACCATTTCAGACAAATGGCTGTCCAGTCTCTTCTTAAAAACTTCCAATGTTGGAGCATTCACCGCTTCTGGAGGCAGGTTGTTCCATTGGTTAATTGTTCTTTTAATAAGACTCTGTCTTATTATTTGTCAAATGCTGCATATGTAGCAGTTTATGCAGCCCATGTGTCTCAAATGTTGGTTTCCCAAGTAGGTGCAGTTGAGCTAGTTGTAAATGAAGCAGTTTGCTCTCTCTGAAAGTCCCAAGCTCTGCATAAGTTAGAAGGGTACTAAAATGTCTTTTGTCGTTTGACAGTGAAATATAGGTTGTGTAAAATTTTGGGCACTTGACAAGATGATTTTAAGATTATGCTAGGCAAAAAATTGTGAATGGATTCCAGAATTCAATTTTTATAGCCACTATAGCAACTCCATCTTTTCCAAAAATATTGTTGTTTAGGGTTCTTCTGTTTTAATGAAACTGAAAAAAACTTGTATACCCTGCTATATTTACCATATGGATATTGCAAAGAAGACATAACACATACACAATAAAGGACTGAGGGAAAAAATGCCTGAAATGTCTTATGCTTCACGCACCTGGATACTGATGATGTTACCTCCATTTTGATAAAGACGAGGTTTTATCTTGGGTAGCAGGACACTCAGCCATTTGTTGACAGCTTGCAGAAAACCTGAGAGCAGAAAGCAACTTGTTCAATTAAAAATGAGGATACTCTACTCAATTTCCCATGTAATACTAAGATAAGAGCTGGCGATTACAATGCTGTATACAGAGAAGTCTGGAAGAGTACGTTGACCTTTGTATTAAGTTCACATAAGTGTAGAAGGTAGAGGAAATTCCATGTTCTTTCTCAGGTTCAGATTTCCCCCTTACCTGGATCAGATGTTCGTAGAATAATATTTGGTTCTGCCAACAGCCAGGACGGAAGGCCACCCTAGGAAACAAGATATCAAAGTAATCCAATTGTGCAACTAAGGTCAAAGACGTTATTTATGCTGTCTTCCAGCAAGTAACAACTGGGGAACTGCCAAAAGATGAGAATTCAAAACTGCAAAAATAGGTTTGATCTTAATTATTGGAAAGTAGTTGCTTGAATGATGAGATGAAATGCTAGCATCCATGTATAGCTATAAAGCAAGAAAAACCACAAGATTTAAAAATGAAGAAAAGCTTATAAAAGGAAAATGAGGGAAAGATAGCTCGTCAAATTATTAACTGCTTAAAATGAGTTGTGGAGCATTCAGAGGCTTAAAATAATAATGACTTATCTGAATCTTTGCATAGCCCTTACCATATCCCATTCAGCACAGATGTAGGGTCCAGGGCGCAATATCACCAATAGCCCTAATTGGGCCACCAAGTCCAAGAATCCTTCCAAGTTTCTGTCCCCAGAAAAGTTGTAAATTCCAGGCAATGGTTCATGGTAATTCCATGGGACATAACTGAGGAATTAAAATACACTTTTCAATCCAGAACAGATTTCTGAGAGACAAGAGAGTTATTGTAGTCATGGGTAAATAGAACAAAACTATGCTTTTTTACCTTCTGGCACTAAATATTAAACAATTTTTTTTAGTTCAAGTATGTTTTTCAATTCCTATTTCTCAGCTTAGCTTGACAGCGAGTTCAGACATAAGTGATAGCAAGTAGGGAACATGAACAACTATTTTCTCCCCTAGTTTTAAATTGGAGTGATGGGCACAGGTAATTATGCCAATTGTAGCAGAAAGGTGGTCAGTAATTAAACATGCTGCTTTAAATACACACACATATAGAGTTAGTGCTGTACAGACATATGTGCATATGTTGTTCATTTTGGCCAAAAGCACAAGGTTATATATATCTTGATGAGACCTTATAATATAGGCGTCTTCAAACTTGGCCCTTTTATGACTTGTGGACTTCAACTCCCAGAATTCCTCAGCTAGGCATGTTGGCTGAGGAATTCTGGGAGTTGAAGTCCACAAGTCATAAAAGGGCCAAGTTTGAAGGCCTCTGTTATAATAGAACGAAAGATTGTCATTACTCGGTTCAGATCTATTTTCAATAAGCATGAGTTTCTCTGCTCCCAATATTTGCTATGGTCAAAAGTATGAACCTTCCAGTGAGAAAATTGGAGCATTTATGATCAGTTTATGTCACTAGTCTCTGTTACAGCAAAGAATATGTCCCAGCTGGGAGTCGCTTCTGATCACTTACATTTGTACAGCATTGAGGCCACTCATATACATCTTGAAGAGCCGGTCTTTCCAATAAGCTGGTGGGATACGGAAGTAATGGATGCTACCTGAGATATAACGAAACTTATTTCCATCCTTCAGGAAGCAGTTATTTTTATAATCAATGCTGAAGGAACGAACTGCTGCAGTGCCCTGCTATCCAGAAAAAGAGAGGAAAGCTTAATATTGTCATTTTCCATGTAACCACGGTGCTACTTTAACTATTTTTTTAGGGTTAGGGATAGATTAGACAGGGTTTCCTGCGTGAGCAGGGGGTTGGACTAGATGATCTCCAAGGTTCCTTCCAACTTTATTATTATTATTATTAACATGCTCACTGCTGCTCCAAATCTTTCAGGTTCAAATCTAATGTCCCAATCACAATTTATACTTGACATTTAGATCGACCCCTACTTATTCACTTAGACTCTTTCTAGGTTATTGGCTGATGTAAGATCTTCTTCTGAGTCATAATAATAATAATAATAATAATAATAATAATAATAATAATAATAATAATAATAATAATAATAATAATAATAATAATAAAAAGTTGGAAGGGACCTTGGAAGTCATCTAGTCCAACCCCCTGCTCAAGCAGGAAACCCTATACCATTTTGGACAAATGGCTGTCCAGTCTCTTCTTAAAAACTTCCAGTGTTGGAGTATTCACTGCTTCTGGAGGCAGGTGGTTCCACTGGTTAATTGTTCTAACTGTCAGGAAGTTTCTCCTTAGTTCTAGGTTGCTTCTCTCCTTGATCAGTTTCCATCCGTTGCTTCTTGTCCTGCCTTCAGGCGCTTTGGAGAATAGCTTGACTCCCTCTTCTTTGTGGCAGCCCCTGAGATATTGGAACACTGCTATCATGTCATCCCTAGCCCTTCTCTTCATTAAACTAGACCAGTGGTGGCGAACCTATGGCACGTGTGCCAGAGGTGGCACTCGGAGCCCTCTCTGTTGGCATGCGTGCCACCGCTGCCAGCAGCAGGTCCATCAGGCCGCCACCGCCACCCGGAGTGGCAGCCCCGCCCAGCACAAAGGAGGCGAAGCGGCCGACTAGCAAGCTCGAGTAGAGGTGGTAGAGCAGAGGTCACCAACCATTGTCGATTGGTGGACTGGAAGAAAAGGGAGGGGGAAGTATTTTACATGTGTGCATGCGCGCACGGGGCCATGAGCACGCACGCGCTGCAAATGGGGCGGGGCTAGTGCCTGCGTGATACTCACTAGCCCTGCCCCGTTCTTGCGTGGTGCAGCACCTTGTATCTGCACCCTGCGGCACGGCGGCAGCCGTTTTTGCACCTTGCAGCACGGTGGCCCATTTTTGTGCCCCTGGTTTTTGCGTGCCAGAGGCGGCACTCAGAGGTGCCTCCCTGCCCCCCCTGAGGGCACCACAATGCTGATGTGGCCCTGGCACTTTGCAATAAATAAGTGGGTTTGGGGTTGTGGTTTGGGCACTCGGTCTCTAAAAGGTTCGCCATCACTGAACTAGACATACCCAATTCCAGCAACCGTTCCTTATATGTTTTAGCCTCCAGACCTTTAATCATCTTGTGAGTCACTCATCTCTTTATCTCCAGTGCTATGGTTACTCTCTAACAGCCAGCCAGTCACATAAGGTTTTGAAAAATAAATTATTAGCTTGCTGTGAGTGCATGATTTAATCTATTTTTTTAACTCCATAGTGCCTGAATCACATGATTGCTGAGTATTTTAAATGAGCAGAACAGATTATGGTCCATGTACAAGAACTCCAAGATAATTATATTACACAGGAGCTTAATTCAGTGGTACAGCAATCAACTCACTAATTATAAACAGAATATTAGGAGAGAATGGCAGAGAAGTGCCAAAATGATCTAAAGAAAAACCTGGACTATGAGAATACATGGAAGATTACAAAGCAGATAGATAAATCCCTTATATTTCCTTTAAAGAGTTGAAAGAAATCATTTCAGCATTTTTCCCAATAAAATCCTTTCCTAATTGTTTTTGCTTACCTGAAATTGTAAGCCCAAGGCTACCATGAGAATATATAGCCACAGCCCCATCTGTTTAACGTTAACTTCAGCCTGGAACAAGAAACTGCAAAAAGATATCACATGACAATCTGGTGGGCAGGCGCTGGTGTTTCCTCCGAAGTGAGGGGGTGATACGTCCTGTGAGTTGGGAGGGGAGAAGGACAGTCAGGAATTTTTAAAAGGAACTAAATCCAAAGCCAGTCATATCAGAGTATACCATGATGTAGCAAGTTCCTTCTGAATGCAAAAATGAACACAGAGGAACTGGAACAAAGAGCTTATTTTCCATTACCAAATATATAATGCAAAACATACTGTACATTTCCTTATAGTAGCAGGATAATGACAAATAATAGTTATCTGTGAGATGAGAGTGTAAAGAAATATAAACTGGTACTGCATTTTATGTTATCGATTCAGAAGCATCAATTATTTTTAAATAATAAATTATACACACTGGATTTAGAGGTAACTCATACTGCTCTTGTAGATCTAATAAATGTTGAAATTATCAGAACTAAATATGGTGATTATAGAACAAGCTAATACATACCTACTCTGAGAGAGCAAAAGGCTCCATTAGAATATAAGTGTTTTAATTACTAAATATTGTGTGCTGCTATCATATAATTATACAATCTTCTTGCCTTTCAGTGTGTTTTTATTTATGTCCCGTTTATTGCAACTTGTCACTGGAAGTCCCTTTTACACACCAGACTTGTATAATCATTGTATTCATTCAGCAACAGAGAACCCATACAGACACCCAAGGTAACCAGTGCATAATGTCCCAGCTGGGACACACTATCCTTGGCATCACCACATTCTGTGCCACCTCATAATGAGATGCTGTTATAAACTAAGGAATTGGGAATCACTGAATGGTAAAATTTGGGTAAAACCAATCAGGCTCTAGATGCCATTGCAATCTAAGCTACAAAGGAGTTACTTGATCAGAATGTCAAATGTCTTCTGTCAATATTAAAATGATCACATTTCCCCCCCTTTTTTTAAAAAAAAAAATCCTGTAGTCTACTTAGGATAGAGTTGGGGTGACTGGATGAATCTGAGAATTTACTGGCCGGATGCCTTTTCTGATGCTTATGCAGTGTTCACAGCAGATATTTTTTCTTTGTTCCCTTAGGAGAGAAACATCTGCTGCTACCTAAGATTGAATTCTCAACCTTCCTAGAGCAGTGGTTCTCAACCTGTGGGTCGGGACCCCATTTGGGGTCGATCGACCATTTCATGGGGGTCGCCAAGCAAGGCTGTCCGCCATTTTTTTTGTCCACCATTTTTTTTGTCCGCCATTTTTTTCCCCTTTTCCGGTGGGTGCCTTACCTCCCTTGGGCTGGGCCAGCTGGTGGTCGGCCTGCTCCGTCTCTGCCGCTTGCCAGCTACACCTCGGCCGGCGCAGGGAGCAGAACCACGCATGCGCGGCGCTCCCAGGCAGGGAAAGTCCTCGACTTATGACCGGTTGGGTAGTCCTCGACTTACGACCGGTTTAGTCCTCTACTTACGACCGGTATAGTCCTCTACTTACGACCGGTTTAGTCCTCGGGGTCTAAACCGGTCGCGGCATTAAAAAGGTTGAGAACCACTGTCCTAGAGGGAGGTGTCTTCACCATTAGGCCACCATGCCGCTCATTAAAATGATCACAGTAATAATTCATATTATTAAAATGATCACAATTAAATGTTATTAAAACTCCCCATGGAGATATCTGGCATGTTGAACTGGCTGAAACTACATCTGCCCTGAAATCCCTATACATCTATACATTTCTCCAGAACCCCTTGGGCTAATCACATTCTAATTAGTTCACAGAATTTTTGTAATAACTTATGTGGTAGTGGATCATACATGTTGCCCTAGGTTTTCTAGAGAAATGCTTGATATTAAAAATCAATTATGTCCTACCTAGAGGAACTCATTTAGAGCCTTTCATGAGCTAGCTTGGCATTATCTTCACAACAGCTCTGTGAAGTAAACTGAATCCATTGTTTTCACGGCAGAACTCAAAAACATAAGATCCTTTGGACACAATAATAATAATAATAATAATAATAATAATAATAATAATAATAATAATAATAATAATAATAATAATAATAATAATTATTATTATTATTATTATTATTAATAATAATAATAATAATAATGGAATAGAAATAGAATCAGAGTTGGAAGGGACCTTGGAGGTCTTCTAGTCCAACCCTCTGTTTAGGCTGCACGCATTTATTTAAAAATAAGTCTTTGCTGAATTCAAAGTGACACATTTTAGGAAATATCCCGTAATCCCAGTCAAGTAAACCCACCATACCGATGCTCAACACTTTTTGTCTAGAGTCCCACGGGTGTCAAACTCGCCGTGTCACGTGACGTGTCACGACGTATCGCGACTTTTTTCGCATTGCCGGAGCTAGGGTGGGCGCGGCCTCCGTATGATGCAACCGGCCATGAGGCCGGCAGTTTGACACCCCTAGACCAGGGATAGGCAACCGTGGCTCTTTTATGACTCGTGGACTTCAACTCCCAGAATTCCTGAGCCAGCCATGCTGGCTCAGGAATTCTGGGAGTTGAAGTCCACGAGTCATAAAAGAGCCAAGGTTGCCTATCCCTGCCCTAGACTGTAAAGACTTGATCTTGAACACCCATCTCATGACTTCTGTTTTTCTCCTTTAATTTATCAGGTCCTTCCAGATTCCCGCCCACTTTCCCTCTTTCACAGATATTTTCTGCTCCCCCTTGAGCGGTTGCTTGGCTACCTCGAGGCCGCAGAGCAGGCGGCGCAGAATTAAAGCGTCACCAGCCAGCGCAGTGACTCCTGTCGCGCTGAAGCTCTCCAGGACGTCTTTGAACTCTCTAGACCGAGACTGGGTGAGTGTGTCGCCCCCTCCCCTCTCCTCCTCTCCCCCCCCCCTCCGTGTGCCTCTGCCGATGGGCGGGGCGGGAGGATGAGGTTGGTCAACTTTGCGGCTGTTCTGTATTCGAGAGTGGCGGGTCCAGAAAGGGCGCCGGGATTTCCAGGGCAGGATTTCCGTGCCGTTTGAGAGTTTGAGCCATAACTCTGCCTCGGAATTTAATTCACTTATCCACTCTAGAACAAGTGACATAACAATCACAGCGACTGTGCATCTGGTCATGTGCAGAATGCATTATTCCCACGGCAGAACTCTGCATTTACTATTTCCCCCCCCCCGATGGCTTTTTGATGCCATCAGTCATTTCTGAACCGCTGAATGTGATTGCTGTTCAACGCTTTGCTCTCCAGCTCTGAAGAACTAACCTTTACCCTTTTTTACTTCTTCTTTCCCTTATGTGCCTTGCCTTTTTAGAATGTAATCCAAAGGGAAGGCCTATCCTTTCATTTTGGATTATGAGTAACAGCTTGGGAGACGGTACTTGATAAGCAAGGGGAAATATATAAAACAAAGAGTTTTATTATGTAGCTTTAAATCAGTCACACTTTTGATAGGCAGTTAAAGAGAGATACTTTTCCTCTCTCTTTCCATGCTATCAGTTCAGTTAGTATCATAATTTAAGTGCCTTTGCATTGGGAAGATATCAATTACATTTCATCATATGATTCAACTGGGAGCAGGTGGAAGAAAACTGATTCTGGATTGTTCCATTCCTTGTTGAGATGAATAGTAGTGGCACTTTGTTTTTATTTTTCCAAAAATAGACTGCTATTAAATTTTGGGTGACTGGAGTCAGACCCTATTCCCCAGTTTTCCATATAATCTTCGTTGTTTCCCCCCCCTTTTTTTTTTAGAATATTCATTGAATATATGTTTCTTGGCTGCCAGACTGTTGGCTTGCAGCTGTGTGCCATTTTGGAGTTAACAATGAACCTTCTTTTTCATTGTTCCACAAACCTTATTTTATTAATACAGGACAGAAAATGGAGCATTTATCTTCAGCTGGGCTGGGAAGCCTGCAAGTCTGTATGTGCTTTGCCTGCTTTTGTTGCCTTTTTTGGGGGGGGGCAATTCTCAAAGCCTACTTAAGATTACACCATCAAAACCTAGTGGCAAATCATTGTAATGCAATTTTTCTTCTTTCCAATATGCCCCAAAATAAATGTGCTAAGCCTCCTTTTACTTTTATAAACTTCACTTCTCTCTCCCCACCAAAAAAGTAAAAAACAAGGGTTGAAAATTCTGGCCCTTGTCATTCTGTGACATTACCAGAAGCGCTCCGAAGCTGGACAAAATGTTCCTGGTTTTGTTTTGTTTTTAGTCTGGCTCCTACCCACAGAAGGATAGCTTGCTCTTAGATTACAGCCTGCAATTTGAGCTGTCTCATTTCCTCTCCAGTACCAATGTTGTGACCATGTTTTCTATGATATTGGGAGAAAAGAAACGGATGGATTGACAATTCTAATAGTGCGAAACACTTGGATTATTCTCTTATATTCCCTTTCAATGCTATACCTTACATCAGGGGTGTCAAACTCGCAACGTCACGTGACGTGTTGCGACGCATCACAACTTTTTTCCCATTGCCGGCAATGGGGTGGGTGCGGTTTCGGCATGAGCGCATCCGGCCTGCGGGCCGGCAGTTTGACACCTGCCTTACATGAAAGGACATCAATTAAAATACCACAGGTAGTCCATGTTTAGCAACTGCTTTGCACAGTGACTGTTCACAGTTCTGACAGGTGATGAAAAAGTGACTTTTCATGTATTTCAAAGATCCATAAAGCAAAGCTGAAGTAAGATCATAAGCACACCCATGGTTTTACTTAGCAACTACTTTGCTTAATGACCAAGTTTCCAGTCCCAATTGTGAATGCCAAACAAGGACTACTTGCATATTATCCATTTATTAATATCTTGACATGAGGCTGCCCCTCTTTTCTCAGCCTTAGGCCTTCACAATGGCTGTACCAAGGAACTTTGCTTTCTTATCCTCTATAGAGTCTGAAGGATGTTGGAGCGACCACCATGGGCCATGCCCTGTGTATCTGTTCCAGGGGGACCATCAGCATCAATAACAAACGCTATCTTTTAATCCACAGGCTTGGGGAGGGGTGAGTATTGGACTCCTTCCAGAGGGATCGTATAAGAAGCTTTGCAGTGATTCATTTTGAAATTTCA